GGTAATCACAGAGGTGCTTTCATGCTTCAACAGGAGCATACACACTTTATCCAAAGATTAAAGAAAAGACCTTTTGCCCACTGAAAAAACCTTCCAGCTTATGTGCCACATCTCAGTCTCTGTAGACATGAAGCATTTTGCTTTGAATCTGAACATTCTATTTTATTAAGTGCTTTGGTTTTCCTGTAAGGAGTTTTAGGAAATTAGGCAAGAAGCAGAAGAAAACTTTGTGGGTTTCAAGCCCTTTGAACGCAAGAGAGGAATACCTATGACTAATCACGAGATTTTCAGCTGGAAGAAAGCATAAAAATTGTATCTGGTTGTCTGGTCACTCTTACCGCCTAAACAAATGCCGCCTGGCTAAGGCTGCTCATCTGCACATATTTTTGGGATGAAGAACTTTAAACTTTAAAACAGCTGTTGTTACTGAAAATAGTATCTTAAGAAAAGGCAATTATCTGTGAAAGTAGTGTCTGCCTTTTTAGGTAAATGTCTTTGATTTAGCATACATACAGTTAAAGTCAGTGGAAGAGGAGGTGAGAAATTCCACTGACTTCCCAACAAGACTTCAAATGCAGTTTTTTCATTAGCAGCACTTGCAAAACAGTTAGCACTTCACCAGAGAGCCTCTCAGCCACTGCTGGTGCAAGTTCAGAGCTTGAATTCACAGCCCATTTTTTGCCAACACCAAGCTGCAGCCAGGTAAGCCCTGGCTCAACTCAAGTCCAAAGCCGGTCAGCTTACAGCCCAACACCATGAGCAGCTGAACCTGCACTGCTCATATAGTGGAACAACTGCTCAATCGGCAGAATAATCGGACGCATCAGCAGTCTGGGGACTGAGCTGCTGGAGAGGAGCTCAGCAGAGGAGGACCTAGGTTTTTTCTGGACCACAGGTTGGCCATGAGCCAGCAGTGTGCTCTTGTGGCCAAGAAGGCCAATGGTATCCTGGGGTGCCTTCAAAAAGGTGTGGTGTAGGTACAGAAAGTAGGTCGAGGGAGGTGATCCTCCCCTTCTACTCAGCCCTGGAGTGGCCACATCTGGAGCACTGTGTGCAGTTCTGGGAAAGAAAGCCACACAGCTCCTAAAATCCAGCAGAGGGATGCAAAGACAATTAGGGGGCTGGAGCATCTCCCTTTTGAGGAAAGGCTGGAAGTCCTGGGAGTGCTCAGCTTGGAGAAGACTGAGGGAGAATCTTATGAGTGCTTATAAATGTCTAAAGGGCAGGTGTCAAGTGGATGGGGCCAGGCTCTTTTTGGCAGTTCCCAACGGTGGGGCAAGGGGCACTGGGCATAAAGTGGAATACAGGAAGTTCCATCTGAACATGAGGAAGAACTTCTCTACAATGAGAGTGACAAGAGCTCTGGAACAGACTGCCCAGAGAGGTTGTGGAGTCTCCTTCTCTGGAAATATTCAAAACCCACCTGGATACTTTCCTCTGCTATTTACTGTAGGGAACCTGCTTTAACAGATGCTTAGACTAGATGATCCCCAGAGGTCCTACAGTTGTCTGATTCACTTGAAAACTCTCACTTGAGTACAGATCTGTGAGACTACTCATGAAGTTAGCTATATGTTTTAATGCCCTACTAAACTGAAAGTTCAAGTCGTCTTCATTAACCCATTGCTCTCTCCCTCTAGTAATTGGTTGAAAGGTAATACTTATACAAAATGTTAACGTTAAGTTAATTTTTCCTGCTTCAAGGATCACAGAATGCAGGAGATGCTGCTTGGGAAAGGCTGTAAGCAAGTGGAAAGTTGAAAATGCTGACATTGTCTTAAGTAAAGAAAGTGTCTGTATTACTGCTCTAGTACTTGTGGAAAGGTCAAACATTCTTTGTCAAATTCTAAACAGACAAATAAGCCATGCTGATTTATCATTTGTGTTTCTTTTTAAGGAGATGTTGTTGACTTTGTTGAGATACAGTGACCTAGCTTGAGGTATATCAGCCTGTTTCTGGAACAAAATACCAGATGCTTTTTGCACACAAAGTTCTTTACACGGTCAGGACACACGTAACCAACCAAAATAGAAACATTTTCTCTCAATTTTGTGGAGAATGTAAGAGGTGACACTAAAAGCCCACAGCTACTTTCACAGCAACACTTGGAGTACTTTTTAGCCTATGAATGTTGCAAATGCTTCTCTATGGCACATTCTAATTTTAAACAAAAATGTGAAAACAATAAAAAGTTTTGCACATTAGCTGCAATAACCAATTGTTTTAAATGTCATCTGCAGGAAAAGATGCTTTGAAATATTTCCCATATTTCTTCTTTGATCACAGTGGCCAAAAATTTATTGGAAGTGGCAAAAACCAAAATGTTTCAATGGCCTTGAGAACACACACATTTCCTGTGAGGCATTTGTGACTATGTTCAAGTGGCCATAAATCTCCAAGAACTGTCCTCACTAGTAATCTTTGCTATTTAGATTTAGAGCTTTAAAAAGAATTGCCCTTGCATAAGAATGGGCACGCAAATGTTTGTTTCCACTGTACACCAACAAAGTTTTTTGTATGTAAGTATGTTCCCCTGTTGGCAAAGGCCACTCAGCAGCACACAAAAGCCAACATAGACATTCATCCATCCCATACCCCAAAGTCTAGGATCTGAGGTTCACACAGCTCTTCCACACATCCCAGCAGACTGCTGAATAATGCAAATTCTGCTGCACTGTTTGGTAAATGCCCTGCTGCCCTTTCTGATGCATCTCTGGATCAGCACACAATCCCACCTGCTAAGGTCAGCACCAGGACTCCTCATTAAGGTGGTTACCAGACCTCGAGAACCTCATTTCCATAAAGACTTGGGAGGGAGTCATTATAATGCACAGCATGTTTCAGAGGTAAACAGGGGGCTGGGGAGGGATTGAAAATAGGAGTGAAACTGAATAAATATCTTGAAGAAGATAAAAGTGTTTCAGAAATCACAGCTGTCCATGGCAGCTGAGGCAACAGCTGAATTTCTCCTGACAGCCAAAGAACCAGGCTGAAAAATTTGTAAAAGGTAGAATGGACATTATTGTCTGTTTGATGGAGGTGAGTGAACTGAAACAGGAAATAAACTTTGTCAGCTGGATGCAATCCTGCTATGACAGAGATTCACCTTCTAACTCAGCAGTGTTGCCATTTTGTGTGCACTGCATTGCACATAACTGTGGTCAGCAAACATGAGATCTTTAAGATTCCTCCCCATCTGCTGGGGAGATAGACAGAAAGACATCCCTCCTTCTCCTGTAAATACAGGAAATGCAAAAAGAGCTGGAAGAACAGGAAATAAAAGTTCACTGAGAAAGGAGAATGAAATTAAAAATAATAATTTAAAAAAAAAAATGCTGAGTTAATGAGGGTGTATGCCCTGGGTGAAAACAGCTGCTCTGGAGAAGAGAATGGTTTCACCTGGGAGAATCCTCAGCTCCAGAGTTAATCAGTTTCCATGTAAGACACATACAATTGCTCCACAGCAAAAGACAGATCAACTGCAAAAGTTATCTAAAAGGTGAGCCATCAAATTCAATATTTTCTGTTAAAAATTGATTTTTGTGTATTGAATGTAGTTTGGGTTAAATGAAAAGATTTTATCTACCATAAAATAAGGCAAAAAAAGCCTCTGCATGTCCACCTTGTACATCTGGCAAGGTTCCTACCTGTGAATGTTGTTCTGTGTGAGGGAAGATGGTAAATTGCACGGCTTTATTCAGCACCCCATCATCCTCTAGCAGTTGTTTTCTCAGTCTTATGTTACCTTGTTATTAAGATTACCAAGGAACAGAGCAGCTTTCCCTATGGAAGAGGGTGAGAGAGCTGGATCTGTTCAGCTGAAGAAGAGAAGATTCAGGGGAATTTCATCAGTGTGTACAAACATCTGAATGGGAGGGTGCAAATGTGAAGACAGGCTCTTTGCAGCGGTGCCTGCAGGCAACGGCCACAAACTGAAGTACTGGAGGTACTCTCTGAACAGCAGGCAGTACTTCTTAGTACTTACTTAGACATAAGGAAGAACTTTTTCTCTCAGAGAGTGGTCAGGCACTGGGATGGCCTGCCCAGGGAGGTGGTGGAGTGGCCGTCCCTGGCAGTGTTCAAGAGGCATCTGGATGAGGAGCTACAAGATATGGTTTAGTGCTTGTGGCAGCGGTGGTAATGGGAGGACGGTTAGACTAGATGATCTTGCAGGTCCTTTCCAAACTTGTGATTCTGTGATTCTATGATTCTGTGCTGTGCAGGTGATGGAGCACTGGCACAGGCTGCCAGAGGCTGTGGGGTCTCTTCTGACACTTTTTCTTTTATTATTTATAACAGTAAATTGTATGTTGCAGTTGTTTAACACAGGCAGCAGCTCAGCACCACCCAGCTGCTCCCTTACTCACCCCATGTGGGATGGGGCCAGTGAGAAAGGTGAAAGCATGGGAACTCCTGGGTTGAGATAAAGACTACACAAACGATGCACAACAAGGAATTTGTTTGCTGCTTCCCATCAGCAGGCAGGTGTTCAGCCACTCTGCCAAGTGAGGTTCAGGTTGGATGTCAGAAAAAATTTCTTCTCAGAAGGAGCTGCGAGGCATTGGCATAGGCTGCCCAGGGAGGTGGTGCAGTCACCTTCTCTGGAGGTGTTCAAGGGATGTGTGGACGTGGCACTGAGGGATGTGGTTAACAGGAATAGTGGGGATGGGTCAGCAGTTGATGGTCTCAGAAGTCTTTTCCAACCTTAATAGCTCTGTGATTCCAGGAGAGCAAGGCTTGGAACGTCTTGTGGTTCCTTGGGAAGACAAATGCCAGCTCTTCTAGCACAGGGCAGTGCTAGAAGCAGAGAAATTCTCAACTCTGCTCTGCAACAATCAAAAATATTGGTGTGTTATTACCATCACCTTCATCAAAATTAGAAGTCCTTGTAATTTGCTGTGAAAAAAGCTACCGACAAAAACTGCTCATGAATTACAAGCATGGGCAACAGAGCAGCATAGCAGCATCCCCCAAGTGCCGGCTTACTGTTGTAATGGAGTTCACAGATGATAACAAGGAACCATTCCTCAAAGGCAAAAGAAACACGTTTAAAAGGCCATCTTTTATTTGTTTTTGATAATTTTAAAACACACAAATGAACGATCCAGGGCAACTACCTACAGCCATGTGACACAGCTGTCCATAGGCAGCTCTGATTGTTTTGAGTGGTATTTCCAGCCTTTCACTTCAAGAAAGCACTTCTCTCTATGAAAAGAAGTCACGGTGAGAGACGAGAAAGATGTGAGAGCTTCTCGGCGTGCCTTTTGCATGAGACAGCTGTAAGAAAGGCATCTCTTTGCTCTTTAGAGGTAAGTATGTTAATCATTCACATCCTTTCTTACAACCTCCGTACTTTGAGAGGGCTGCGGTCCCGTCGCACTCGTTTCATCCGCACTGTGAACTTTGCGTAAATAGGATTTCTGCTAGAAATCACTCCCAACCGTCTCTGCTCCCTGACGGCGCGGGCAGGACTCGCCCAACCGCCACGGCTGAGGCCCGGCCGTTGGAGCGGGGCAGCAGCAGGAGCCCGCCGCGCTTACCGCCCCGCTGTGCGGCCGTAGCGAGGCGGTGGATGCCGCTGCTCCTCCCCCCTGCCGCGGGCAGGGCTGGCGGAGCACACCTGCCCCGGAGGAGGAGCCGAAGGGACAAAGTTGACTCGGGAAAGTTTACGAGGGAGCGTGGGTGGGAAGAGAAACAGAGCTGAGTGGAAGGGCGCTGCCCAGCCGCGGGCCGCCAGCTCCGTCGGTGCTGTGAGCGGCGGCTGCCATGGCTCTGAGCAAAGGGCTGCGGCTGCTGTGGAAGCAGGAGCCGGGGCCGAGCGCTCTGCTGGAGGCGCGGGGCCGCCAGGACTGCTTGCTGCTGGAGGCCGGCACCATGGCGGCGCTCAGTGAGTCAGGGCGGGGGCAGCGCGCGGCGTTCGCGGGGCACCCGTGGGTGCGAGGAGACGGCCGGGAGGCGCGGGGCTGGGCGGTCTGCGGGAACAACGCTGCCCCGCCGTGCGCGGGAGGTGGCCGGCTGCTCCCGCAGCGCCAGCTCGGGCCGAGTCCCTTCAGCCTCCTCCGTGCTCCGGGTGCTTGTAGCCTCCTCGCGCAGCCGGGACGCAGAGGGCTCCAGAGGAGGGTCCCGCTGACGGGATGGGACTCGGCGCCCGAAGTTTCTGCATCAGTGCCGGCCAGCAGATCAGACGTGCAGTTTAAGCAGCGGCAGGTCGCGGCGGAGTTTGGCGTGGCTGACTTGCCCGAGTCTGACATCCCGCAAAGAGAGCTCGCTTCCTGCTGCGTGCCGTGCCCGTTCTCGGAGTTCGCGCCGTGCACGGCTGTGGGCGCAGCTGCTGCTCGGTGCGGCGGCCGGGGGCTGTGAGGCAGGGCGGTGGGAGCCTCCGGTGTTCTCGGATCGCCTCATCGCGTGTTGTGGCACTGCAGTGGGTGACGCTGGGACACTCGTGGAAAAATTAGGTGGTTAGGGATTGTAAGGTGCAAAAAGTAATGCGGAGGAACGTGGTAGATTGTTGTTAGTTGTGGCCGGTTCTCACCTGCTTCGGCACTTGTGCCCCTGTCGTGGTGTGGAATGCATCCGGGGGAAAAGGGAGAGAGCTGAACTGTGAACTTGGTGGCAAAATGTGTGTGTATGCTGTGCTTTGCACGGTTACAATGGCCTGCCGAGGAGAGCAACAGGAAGCTGGATTAGATCTTCCATGATACGCTGGGACAAGGCCTCCGGGCTAACGTGTTTGGTTGTCAGGGACTGGGGCTCTTTATGAGCGAAGGAGGCCAACCAGGTCTACAGGAGATAGATGGTATTGGTGAGAAGGGTTCTGAAAGTGGAAACGTTTTAACCAGTCCTGATAAAGCTCTGTTACTGCCACAACTTGCGCTGTGTTGTGTTACTGGAATTTTATGTTGTGTGATAACTCTGAGAGTTCTGTTTCTTGTTCAGTTTGTTGGTAAGAGTGGGCGTGAACGTGCAGAAAAAATTATTCTGTGTGTTTTTGGTCAGTTTTCAGTGAGCTGTCAAAATGACAGGTCTGGTAGTACAGACCAGCATTGTGTACACCCTCCCTGATCCAAAATTGTATTGATAGTAAAAAATCAATGAATTTTGATATGGCTTCTGTTGCTCTGATCCAAACCCAGAACAAATCCACTGTCTAAAGCCAACGTGCATGAGTAGGACTGAGAAACCAGTGTTCAACTAGCGACCTCAGGCCTTTGTAGAACTTGTCATTGAGAAGGTTATTTACAATCTCACTAATCTAAGGAATCCTCAACTTAAAATAGACTTTTCTCTCACAGTGTTGCTGTCTTTCATCTGAATACTTGTAGCTAGAAGTGTGGAAGTGATTAAAGAATTCATATGGTCTCCTCTAAGATGTGTGTTATTGTGCTTTAGCACTTGGTGATCACTCGAGGTCCCTTCCAACCCCTGCAGTACTGCAGTTCTGTGGTGGCTGCTGTAAAACCTGGTTTCCCATGCTTTTGGAAAGTCACCTAGGGAGATAACTGTGATCATTCATGCGTTGGCATCCAGCCTACTTTGTTCTAATGAATTTGCCATTTTAATTCATTTAGTTTCTCTTCCTGCCTGGTTTTGTTTCTATGTTAGAGGAAAAGGTAGTTTATCCAGTTGAGCCAGTTTAGTTCCTTTCTTCTATTTATGAAGGAAAGGACCAGAAAAGGAGGGAAAACCAGCAGCAGGTATTGTGATGTTAAATTTACAAGAACTGTGAAGAGGAAACTCCATGGCTAAAATGTCAACAGAGACAAGGTCATTTTTGTTTTGATTGCCCTCAAGTTGTTACTGGCTGCAAAACATTTCAGATAAACACAAACCTAGGGCTAGTAGGTTTGGGCTAGTTTGATTTTCCATTTCTGAAGTGAAGATATAAAGAATTGCATGCCCGTGGTGATGAGGAAGTAATGTGATTATGCCTTTTGCAGACTTCCATGCTCTAAATCAAAACAAATGTGTAAGTTGTACAAATACTGTAAGTTGTTCATGCAGTTTTGTAGTAGCAGCCTTAATCTGATACAAGTGTAGAAAGGAATAATTATGGATGGACAGTGAAGGCTTGGAAACAAGTTATAGTCATTGTATGTTATTCTTTTTTTTTCTTAATTACCAAATGTCTAGTTTGCTCTTAAGCAGACGTGGCATCTGAATTTTTACTAGAAGAAGTTAAGTCACTTCCTTTCCTGCTATCCAGTTTAAGTAGCAAAATGGACTGAGAGTCATCCTAGAGGAAGAAATGTTGTAAGAAAAAAATCTGGAAAATGCACATGTGTACGAGCATGGTATCTGTAGAGGCCATGAAACTCCGCCAAACTCAGAATCAACTCTTTCAAATATATAAACCAAAACTTTGATACTATCTTGTGGGAGACAAGATACTTTCTTCCTCTCTTGATGTATTGTAAAGGTTATGATGACAATGTATTTTCAAAATTCAGAGTTTTAGTACTTGAAAAATATTTGCATGTTCAATTTCAGTAGTGGAAAAGTATTATGAGGATCTTCAACTGTCTAAGAAAAGAATTCATAAAATAACCACATTCGGGCTGTAAATGAAGCCTAACTTGAGAAACTTTTGTAAAGGTCAAGGAATGAAAAATCACAGTGGGAAAACTAGCTGCCCTATCCCAACTCCTTTTTCTGTATAGTGAAGCAATGTAAGAGTCACACGATTTTCTGTTCTAGCAGAAATTCAAACAGTACTTTTAAAGAAAGTAGTTTTTTTCCTCCTTTTCTCATGATGTCACTGTAGGGTGGAGGGTAAAACTCTCTGCTTTGAGTTTAACAGCATGAAAGAATGTCTCCAGGAGTTCACTGAACTAGAACATCAGTAATTAGCTTCTGCCATGGAAGAGAGTTACAGGAACAATTGTCACTGGTTCAGAAGCCTTTGCTTACATGAGAGGGAATGTAGATAGAAGTGCTGTCACTACTTTCAACGCAGTAGTTTTAACACTTCGTTGGTGAAGTGAGCTGCGTACTAAAGCCATAGAGCTGCAAATATAGTTTTCTAACTTTATTATAGAAATGAAATGATGTCGATAGGAATGCTCAGCTTCTATAATTCGTCACAAAAATGTATTTTTGCAAGGGCAGGGCCAAAGGACATACAGACAGTTAAAAAGTTTTTAAGTGCTTTGATTCTGAAACTGCCATTACTAAAATATGTTACAACTCCCATCAGAATGGATCCTAACTGGCCATGATGTTTTGAAAATACCAAAATTCAGAGCTGATAAAGTGTATGCTTTGCAGATGTGTCCTGAGGTTTTTTCTCCAGACTGTCACTCTGAGATCTGGGAGGTGAGCCTGTACAGGAGGCAGATGGCCATAGTTAGCTGGTGGAGAAGCTCTGTGCCCCCCTCAGCAGCTTCAGGTGCAGGTGAAGCTGGGGCTGAGTCTGGCAGCGGGAGGAATGCGAGGCCAGGTGCTACTGTGTGCACATTTATCATTTGCCATTGGATTTGTAATTCTGTCTACAAATACGTCATGGAGCGAGGCTATGGAAGTCAAGCACGAGAAATTGTGCAAACATACTGTGAATGTATCACTGTATGCTACACACTATCAGAAACAGTGAACCCAACAGCATGACTTGTTCTACTCATGTGCCTCGTTATTTATGTAAATCCTCTCCTTATTGTATTTGCATTCCTAAAGCTTACTTATTTTATTTAAAAAAAATACAGTGTTTCATAAAATTTTCTGAGGTTTAATGGTGTTCAGACTTCTTCTATCTGTGGATTCATACAAACCTTTTGTAGTGGAAGGAGTCTGACAGAAGCCTTGCTGATGTCGGCTGCGCTGTGTCTTTGTATGACTATATATAATATATAACATTAACCACATAAAGATAATGGTCAAGCTCCAGAGAAATGACTTAGGAACGTCTCCTTTATGTTCTTGGCTGCCTGCAGACAACAAGAGTGGCTGGTACAAACCTAGTGGTCTTGAGTCCATTCCTTGACTGTGAGTGAATATATCCATATCCACACTTAAAAGTATGAAAATATAATCCCTTACTGGAAAAGAATGATTCCTATAATATAGAAAGCTGGTGGATGAACTTCTCCAAACTGCCACTTTATCATGTTTTCAAGCAGAAAAAACTCTTTTCTATAGAAAGCTGGTGAATATATTGCTTAAAATTTTGAGTATCCAGACTCTGTTAACTGGAACTCTGACCTTTTCCCAACCCTGTATTGCATGACATATATTGTGTTAGAGGATACATCCTGGCTTGTGTAACATCTGTGTAGCTTGAATTGGATGTGAATGGGAAGTTCTTAGCAACAAAAGGTTGTGAATGTAAATGACAATAAACAAAGTGCTTTAGGTTTGTCTGAGAAAAAGCAGTAAGCACATCATTTGTCTTCACTCATATAACACCAGTTGCTGAACGTATTTCTATGTTAAGATGCTAGTTTATGTATTTTTTATCACATTTTCTTAATATGAAATTTGTTTAATTATATATTTGCTCATTCTTGTAAAAATTCACACATCTTTCACCAAAATGCTAGAAGAAGCACAAATAAAGCCCCCATCACATCAGTCCAACAGCTCTGCAAATATGCACTTATATATTCTGAAGTATTTCTGTAGCTGCTAAGCAGGTATCTAAATACTTCCAGAATCAGTCTTAAGAGGGGAGCCAGAATCCATAACCTGGCTCCTCACCTTCTTCTTGAAGAGTTCTTTCAGTGATTTTACCTGAAAGTTGAAGGTGTTACTGTGCCTTCCCTTGATGTTGGACCTTGGACTGAGGTGCCTTCCTGCAGTCACTGGGCTTTCTGGGCACTACAGGGCTGGCAGCCATGGTGGTTCCTGGTGAAGTCTGGGGATCACAACTTGAATAAAGGAAGCTGCGTGCACCTGGTCAATTCCTGCTAGACATTACATCAAATGTGCAGCTTTTGTAAGCAGGAAGTCACACTTGCATAGTAGTATGTCTTTTTTTGCATGGCTCTGAAATATTTTATGTTTTAAATTCAATCAAAAGTGAGCTGTTTCATTACAATTTGGTTTTGTTGAATTATTGTGCCCCTCTTGTTTCACAAGAGTTAAAAATTTCAGCTAACGTGTTAACCTTACATATTATTTGCATCAGAAGCTTTTAAACAGTATTAAAAATCGTGAGGAATGCATGCAGTGTGCAATTCTATAAAGCTCTTAGAAACACACAACGCGGTTGTAATTAGTGCAGAAGGGTGGGTACTCAATTATATGTTTAGTGGAAGGATAGATTGCTAAAAAGTATTACTGGGAAGCTTTAGAGGAGTTTGATAATTACTAGGTGTACTCTCTGCTACCTGAAGCCATTGTTAAAGCCCAAACAAATGCACTGTGTGTTTGGGACAGTCAGCTTGTTCCCCAAGTAACACAACTTCATGGTGAATTTCATCAGCTTCTGTAGCACCTCCTTTTATTAACTATATGTATATACATATATTTTCCACCTTTCTTTCTTGAAAAAGAAAGGATTTTACTTGTGTACAGAATGTAGTTAAAAGTCCATTCTTCATCCTAGATTTTCAAGTAGACAGCACTTACAGCTTCTGCATTTCAGAGCTTTGAGAAAGCTGTTACACAATAAAAACTCTGACATGGAAAACTTTAAGTGGAAAACACGGAAATGATTGTCATGTTACTGATTAGGAAAGTGCTGTCTATTTGGACATATCTAGCTGTCAAATGTTTCTACTAAGACAGTATTTACAACATTATTCAATCTTGTTCTGTGTGTTTTATATTCTCCCTTTATATCAACAGTACTTTAGAATTCTGTAGTAATTTTTCCCTTTAGCTCTGCTCTTTATCCAATAGCACGCTGGTTGCTTTGTTTTTCTAGTTGCTTGCTTTCCAACCCTTTTGTGTCCTCACATTGCTAGCCAGTAGTCTTAAGATCAGGTTTGGTGACGAGATATCAGTAAGAAATGTTGAAGATTTACAAATAATTATTTCTAGTAATAAGATATGAAATTGACTTAGACCCTCTGCAGTGTCCTTGAAAAGTCACGCTTTGGTCATCCTTTCACTGTATCACTTTTTTTTTACAGCAGGTCCCTGTCTCAAGCAGCATGGCATTGTCTGAGGATATAGCACCAGGGAGTGTAATGGGATAGGAGCCTGCAGTATCTATAACAAGTAGACACTTTTCCTCACAAAAATTTGGTCTCCACATACTAAAATACTCTGGCCTCCCAGCTTATGTGCTGATATGGCATAGATGTGTTAGATGGGTTTGTTTCTTCTTGGCCTGAGGAGTGAGCTGTATCCAGAGTGCATGGAGCTGCTCAGGGGAGAAACACTTTGTCCCTGCTCTGGTTTCATGAATCTAAATGTCTTCTAGAATAAGTATCAGAATTTGCCGTAGGATGGAAGTTTTGGGGAAGTTGTTATCTAGAGACAAAGACAGGCAGCAGAGCCCAGCGGCCTCCTGCAGCTTTGTGTTGGAGGTGCTCCTCAATTTTAGACAGCTCCTTTGGTTCTGAAACCCTGACTGCTGCTGCCATGCTGGCAAATGTTCAGTCTTATGGTCTGCCCAGAAGCAGTGGTGTTCCCCTGCCGCTGTTGGCAAAGCCCAGGTCTGTGCACATGGAGATGTCCCATGTCAGGAGCTGATGTCTGCTGCCACTGCCTAAGAAATTTTGGTGGCTTCTGTATGTGTTAGTGCTGGGTGCTTCTCACTGTTAGTATTGTGCTGCTTAAATGCTTCCAGGATGCAAGTTTGTAAGGTTCTGCCTTAGTCTGAGATAAAAATTTCTCCTTATTTCTGTCATTCCCTCTTTCTTACTGAAGGTGGAATATTTAGAGCAAGAATTTTGTTTATGTTTTTTCCTTTTTTCTTTTAAAGGTAACAAAAACAAAGTTCTAAGGCAGAGAAAAAAATTAAGAGAAAGATACCAGTGTGTTGTAGTTGCTTTTTCCTAGGTACTAGAGATTATGTGAAGTGAGACATCAATTTTTTAAACTCTTTTTCTCTTCTTTAATATATAAAGAAGGTTTAATACTGTTTAGGAAGAGCTGGGGCTGTTCAGCCTGGAGAAGAGAAGGCTCTGAGGTGGTCTGACAGTGGCCTTTCAATACCTAAAGGGGAGCTATGGAAAGGAAGGGGACAGACTCTTTAGCAGGGTCTGTGCAATAGAATAGGGGGAAATGGCTTCATGCTTAAAGAGGGTAGATTTAGGTTAGATAGAAGGAAAAAGTCTCTTACAGTGGGGATGGTGTTGGCACTTGAACGAGTTGCCTAGAGGTGTGGTTGATGCCCTGTCTCTGGAGACTCTCAAGGTAAGGCTGGATCAGGCTCTGGACAACCTGATGTAGCTGTGGTGTCTCTGTTCACTGCAGGGGAGTTGGACTGGATGGCCTTTAAAGGTCCATTCAAACCCTAAGGATTCTGTGATTTTATGATATACATGTATGTAAATGAAATGTTGTTATATTCTATCTAAACTTTTTTTTTTAAATTTTTTTACATAAGTTTGCTGTGGTGTTTTTTGTTTGGTTTTTGTTTTGAGGTGCCCAGCCCTTAAGAAGTACTATTACAGAATACTTGGACTGTTGCTGCCTCGAGGTTTACATTACCCAAAAGAAATCTCTATTCTTTCTGTTGCTTATGTTTTATTTCATTGGTGTGTGGTATCTACATTTTACTGTTTTCTTGTGATTCACTGAGTGTTTGTAAGGAAGCAAAATAGATACATTGTGAAAATCTGGTGGCAAAAATAGAATTAAGAAAAAAATTAACAATTCTCCCTAATTTGTGACAGATGCTAAAACTGAGACAAACATGTTTTAATTTCCTTCGGAAAGGTTGCCTGTTCAAGAATTTACAGGAATTGTGCAAGCGGAAGTGTCCTTTCTGCCACTTCAGTATGTCAGAGATGGATATTTATTTTCCATGCTTCTCTCTGAACTCCTTGTGGCTTCAGGTTTATAAAGAAAAATCTGCTTCTTTCCCAGCACAGAAGCTAAGCTAAGTCTGTCCTTCTTAGGCCAGAAAATTTTAGATTCTTTTTTCAATTGCTGAAGCTTACTAGTAGGAGAAGATTTTGGAGTATTAGCTAACTTCTGAAAGTGCCATGTTTCTGTTCATCTGTGGTCAAGAAGTAAATGGGCATTTGAGGGTTACTGTTTTACTCATTCAGGAGGCTACGTTTGCTCTTCATTAGGAAATACATACCTGCTGGTTCAGGAAATAATTTATTTTTGCATTAAGGTATCAGGGACACGTTTGACCATGTTCTGGCTTAATGCTTGTGCCCATTGGGGTCAATTAATGCAGAAACACACAAGTCTAGCAACAGCATTTGATTCTCTTATTTATTTGTTTTTGAACAGCTAATTCTTACTCTATTAAGGTATAAGCTCAGTTTCTTTTGAAATCAACATCTGATATGTGTCTGCATTGAATTGTGTTATCTCCTATAAAAAAATCCAATTCTGTTAAAAATGAGCCTGCCAGAATTTGGAAACAGAATCCATCTCTTTTTGTATGTCAAAAAAGATAGATTGTATTTTAGCTTATGTTCAGACAGTTGTGTTTGGGATTTTTTTTTGCTGTTAGTTCAGAAAAGTGTGAAGTTCAAATGTGCTTATATATTCCTTTATGTATTCTGAAACTGATGTGGCATCTGCTAACATCTCCACTGTAGAATTAGAGCATCACTAATGATCTTATTTTCTAGAAGGGCAGAGTGCCCCCTTCTTTCTTTTAGGATGGCATGTGGAAGGGCTGTGCACTTTTGTCCCGTCTCTTTTTAATGACTGTACTCTTAGAAGATTTTAATGCTGTGTGGTTTTGCTTTCTGAATGAGATCAACAGGGGTGGATTGCTGTAGACTATAGCAATCTTAAAATGTGATAAGAACCAAAAATTAAGGTTTGCTGTCTTTCATTTTGCTTCTCAGCTCCAGAAGAAAAGGATGCAATTAAAGGACAATATGAAAAACTCATGGATGCTTATGGCTGCTTAGGAGAGCTTCAGCTTAAGTCTGGTAAGTGACCATCTGTATGATTGAGATTATAAAGATGTCCAGACAACACTGGCATGCTGTAGTGTCAAATGGCTCAAGTTGTCCACTTAGCATGTGAAAGCTAATTGCAGTCTGTTATCTGTAGTCTGGAAAAGATCTGCTTCGTTTTTATGCTGTGCCAAAAGCATACTGTTAAATGATAGCCCAAGAATTTTGGATTTTTTTTTGCTTTTGTTTTGTCTACATTAGCTGCCTGAAGATAATTGTCTTTTTTTTTTTCTACCACATTTGTTGAAGGCAAATTATGTTTTCTTACTTGCTTTTTTATTTTTTATTTATGAAGGTTTGTATTTAAACAGTAAAAAATCATGACTATTTGAGACTGCAGTCCTACAGATTCCCTATGCTTTCTATAATGCCCAATTGCCTTTAATTGGGAAATTCTTATGGATAAAGATTTGTAGAAGCAGGCCTTTAAAACTTCAGCTAATATTGCTAGTAATGTAAGGAATATTTATTATCACTACTTTCAATTTTGGTACAGTTTGCGAATCTTGATTTAGCACAGGACTTGCTATTATACTGCCCACAGGAATTTTAATGGAAACAGCATGTTTTAGGAAGAGGACTTCAATAATTGATTTGAAGGTATTAGTACTTTGCATAGCAGGCTTCAAATCTACTGATGAATAGGATGCATTAAAACAAAAGCTTAACAATATGAAAGCATTGTACAGTTCCAACCTTGTCTGTACTCATTAAGCAAAGCGTAAGCTTTGCTCCCACGGTGGTCTTAATGTAAGCCTCCCTTTTGACTTGAGGGGATGACAGTATTGATTTCCATATAACTTGGTGCTTGATCAAGGAATCTGTCAAAGACAACGGTGGCATGAGCACTGCCTTATTTAAATCAGGACGTAAAGTGTATCTTTTTGTAGTTCACTTGCCATTTTATGGCTCAAGGAATGTGATGTGGGATTGATCTGAAGAGGTGGCTGCAATCCAAAAGATTTGTGTGTCAGCATTTAAAACTCTAGGTCTGTCTAGTCTTTTTAAATGAATGCGGGCTTTTTGTTTGTTGTGTTTCTTGTGGAATTAATTATGCATTTCCATAGAGATTTATATCAATTTGTTAATGCAATTAAAAATTCAGGCCTTGTGATTGTTTTTTCTTGGCACTTGGACCTGTTTTTCCTCATAGGAGTCTAATTAAACCTGTTGTAATAGTAAAGGAATGTGGTTAAGCTCTTCAGGTTACAGATGAGTTTCTTGTACATGATGGAAACTAAATATATCCAGTTTCATATTAAAAATTTCATACCTTTCATTAAAAGTTTCATATTTGGCTTCATATTAAAAAGTGACTGATTTTAGATGGGGTATAAAATATTCCTTATTTTCTCCTTTTTATTTCTGTGTTCCCCATGTCTTTACTTCTTGAACACCTGCTTCAGTGCCTGTAAAGTGTGAGGTTTTTCCTCTCTCAGCTCTATCACTGCACCTTTGTCTTGTTCTAGTATTAAATTACAAGTACTGGTACAGGATTTCCTTTGGAAAGCACTGTTAAAAATTGTATTGGTAATTGGATTAAAAAAGGTTCATACTGGAGGCCAATTCCTAATTGTGATTGAGTGAAAAGTCAGGAGGGTCATGCTGTAATGGTAAGCAAAGGTAAGCAAACATTGTCTGCTGCTAAACATTTTTTAAAAAAGCAAAGATGATTGCCTGCCTGCTATTTCACCAGTAAAAAGGTAGCCCCTTTTTTTTCTGTCTCATATTTTCCATTTTATGTGTAAGTATGCCTTCATCCCTTTAGCTTTTGCTTATATAAAAGATTAACACTAGAAAGGCATGCAATGTAACTTTTTTTTTAATGTTTGCAGCTGCAAACAAGAGCATAATTGGCCAGCTCCTCACTGCACATCAGTGGTCAGGAGTATCACTTTATTTTTTTTGCTTACCGTTGAGAATGTGTGGATCATAAGTAATAAATTAACTGAAAATGTTTTAAAAAGTACATTCCACTGGGATATTAAAAGAGTATATTTGTAGAGCAGAAGGGAAGATTCTTTCGAGACATGAAAAGATGTCTCTGAGCACTTTAATTAATCCGTAAATATCGTTATTTAGGAATCCAAATAAATCACATTGTATGCCTGCCAGAGTAGATCATGCTTTTCACAAAAAAGAAGATGAAGTATGTGAAGCTGACTCACAAAGTTAATGTTTCCCATCAGTGATAACATTCACTTCTATGTACTTCTGTCTGTTAACATGACTCACTAAGTTCTTCTGCTTTCTTTTGTGACATAGATGGCAGCAGAATGAATTGTACTGTGTTTCTGAGCTGTATCTCATCCAAGATTTTGCTACCAAAAAAGATCTTGCTGCAGCAAATACATTTTCAGCAATGAGCTGGTTTTGCAGTGTTTGGTTTAGATGTTGTGATGTCAAGAAGGAGGGTGCATATAGAAGGTAGTATTCTGACATCATCATCATGTAGATTACTTAGTTTAGTACAGCTGCTGTATTTAGGGATGCACTCTGACATCATTTGTCTGTATATACTCTTATGCTTGTACATGCAGTGTATTTGTTTTGAGAGCCTAAAAGAATAATTTTCAAAGGCAAAGAGGTCAACTAAGTACATTTCCTTATATATAATTGTGTTTAAAAGAGAAAGAACATCTTTGAGGCTAGAAACATCATTTGAAAAACTTAATTTATTTTTGTGATTCTGATATAGATTTCATTGGAGATAATCAGCTAGCTGCTTAGAATCAGATCATCTGCTACACTCTTTTGCTAATTTTGAAGAAAGATGAGAGGCAATAATACCTTTGACTTTTTTTTTTTAGTGGACTATAAAATGAAGCAGAGTTATGTGAGGAGATAAAATGCTGTGGAAATGGAACATGCTGAGGGAACGTGAGGAAATAGCATGAATATTGGAATGGAGAGTGATCAAAAGCTGGACTGACTTCATTTTTAAAAAGTGGTTTTATGTGGAATATTCAAGTTAAAGGTCAAAGTCAGAATTGAATATTGCCTTTTTTAAACTGTATTTCCTAACAGGCAGCTGTGAAGTCATCCCACAGAATACAGGGGAAACAACTGTCAGGAGTCAAGTAGACAGTTTAAATACAGAAACTGCAGCTCATTATAGGTGTGACGTACCAGAACTGCATTTCCTGCAGCAGGCTTGCTGAAATTCCATTAAAGTAGTTGGCTTTTAAAAAACAAATAAGGACAGAAGTTATTTTTGTCTTGTTTCTCTGCCAAAAAGTTCTTTCTCCTCTGCCTCTCTGGTACAACTTAATAAACAGGGCATTCAGCACATATTGCTGGGAACAGTGCATTTCTAACATTTCTTCTAAAGGGTTCTTTACAGACTTGTGATGATTTATAGCTGTAATGGGGCAAAATAATGATCTCGTAAGAAACACTTCACTTTTCACTCAAATGTTTATTCAGAGAAAAAAAAAAAACTGTGAGGAAATTAGAGATTTCTACATTTGTGATATTCTATTGCAGTTCTTAATGTTCTTAAATCACTTTCATAGGATGGTTTGGGTTGGTAGGAGCCTTTAAGAACATCTAGTTCCAACCCCCCTGCTATAGGTAGGGACACCTCTGTCTAGACTGGGTTGCTCAGAGCCCTATCCAGCTTGGTCTTTGAATGCTTCCAGGCAAGGGGCATCCACAGCCTCTCTCAGCAACCAGTTCTAGTGTCTCACCACCCTCCCAGTAAACGTTTTCCTCCTAATATCTAGTCTAAATTTACTTTCTTCCAATTTAAAGCCATTTCCCCTCATCCTGTTGCTACCTACTCTTATAAAAAGTTCCTCCCCAGCTTCCTTGTATGCTCACTCTCGGTACTGGAAGGCCTCAATCCCCCTGGAGCCTTCTCTTCTCCACACTGAATAGCCCCAGCCCCCTACTTCTCTCGTAGGGGAGGTGCTCCAGTCCTCTGATTATCTTCATGGCCCTCTCCAGCAGCTCCATGTCCTTCTTGTGTTGTCTGGACGCAGTGCTCAATCTGAGGTCTCGTAAGTGCAGAGTAGAGGGACAGAATCACCTCCCTTGACCTGCTGGTCACACCTCTATTGATGCAACCTAGGATACAGTTGCCTTTCTGGGCTGCAAGCGCACATTGCTGGCTCATGTTGAATTTTTCTTCAAATGACACCCCCAAATCCTTCTCCTTGTGGCTGCTCTCAAAGTAGGATTGTACATTAAATTATTTATGAAAGTTTAGAAGAGAAAAGAAAGACATAAAGAAAAGATTTTCTTGTTGCAAGGGCCCAGCAGCTGATGTAGCTGTTGATACAGAGTGAAGGGTGAGTGGCAGACCTGGGGCCCTGATCACAACACAGGAAAGAAGTTTTCTGGGATGCTTTTAGTCAGCCTCAGTGCTGGTCCCATTTATCATTCACTTTGCAGCCACCAGCTGAATGCAGCATGCTTTCTGTTACTGCAGGGCACACTGATATCAAGGACAAACTAGTGTAAATTTCCTCCTATTGTATCTCTACTAGCTACTTTTTTGTGTGTGTGACAACAGCTGTTGGCTCCTATTTTAAGAAATAAGACTGGAGTCTGGTCTCCTATTCCAGATGTACAAGGACCTTCAGAGAGGGCATAACTTTGGTTTAGGCTTGACTGCTCATTTCTTGACTTTAGGTGTTGCTTGTTTTTTTTTTTTTTTTTTTAAATCCATTTAGCTATAGATGTTTTGATCAGAACAAATATAAATACTCTGAATACTGTTAAGCCTGTTTCAAAGGCAGTAGCCTCATAATGTGCTTCATAATGCTGCTGCCAAGTGGATTTGATTGGACTGTATGATATATTTTTGTGGTGACTGGTCTAGCATGGTACTTTAAATGGTATTTGCATAGGAACAGTTTCACTGCAAACTTAAAAAGTAACAATATTTTTACTATAATTACAGTATTGGAAATGATAGTGAGCTGTGGTTTTGGTAAGTTAAAGCTTCAGGAAGTAATGAAGTAGTTATGGCTGTTTTAAGAAATGTCTGTGTTTCAGCTTTCTCTGTTTCATTAGCATTGTGGTGTTTTCATAGTTAACTCAACAAAAACAATTTCATTACAAAAAAATTCTCTCTTTCTCATGTTGTGGCCTCACAAATGCCTGTACTGTCAGAAATTCTAAGTTGTGTTGAGAGCAGGAGATATTCTGTGGGGGAGGGTTTAGGAAGCCAGGAATGCAGCTTCTCGCATTCTTTTGTAGGAATTGCTGGATAATAAAAATGAATTGCGTAGGAACTAAAAGAATCTCTGAGTAAATTCCTGTCAGCTAAAAATGTTATTTTCCTTCCACCGAATGAAGAGTTACTAAAGGACGTAGAATCTGCAAGTCTTAGAAATGGAGAAAGTCAATTTAAAATTTGTTTTTTATAAAAGTTATGTGCACCAGTAACAGCAGCATCTGTCCTGAATCAAAGCAATTTCTGCTAGTGTGTTTAGGTAGGGTTGTGCTTGGTACATCTGTTTCCGTGTTAAGTGGTTAAGTCAGCAGCTGACAAACAAGCAAAAGTGTCCTGTGGCTGGTAATGTTAGGTTTCTGCCATATGAGGTACTATTTGGAGATGTATGTTTTTTCCTTTTGAATTCGCATTTTCAAGCTGAGAAAATGCCTGACTAAAAGATCAAGTGCAGAAAGCTCAGTTATCATTTCCATCACAAGCTTGATCGATGTACTACTCAGTTTATTTAAAATTGTAAACAGCCTGGATTAAAGAGAGAGATGTGGGGTCGAGACAATGTGAGCAAAAAGATTTGGGATTGAAAGAAGAGATTCCCAAACTAGAACTGATATTCCTGTCAATGAGGGAAACGTGGAGAAAGGTGTGTTCTGCTGTGTATAGCTGCATAGCTTAGTGGTGAATAATTTCTTAGATTTTAACGGAGACATAATTAAAAGGTGAATAGCTTTTGGTAGCATTAATTTTGTTGCGTGAGGCTCTAGTAATGGGAGGGGTTGCTCAGAGCCCTCTCGCTGCTCTGGACCCTAAGGCTACCTCTGAGCTGTGGGTGAGGATAGGGCAGGGCACAGGCGTGAGCACTGTCATTAGGATATTGCAGTGAGGCAAGACTGGCACACCCATCAGGCAACATCAGGCAAGGATCTTCCTCACCCAGACAGTGCAGAGTGCCCCAGGCACTTTGGGAAAGGTTGCTGAAGAATGTGGCAGTGCTTGTACTCCTTGCCTCAGCATCCCGAGCCAGCCAGCTCTCTGAGCCTGTCACTAATTATTTTCTATCTCTGATACTGATTGATAGTAAGGCATATATTAACAGTGTTTCTATGCATTGCTTTCAAATTGTCAAATTGAGTTTACTCTGAGCTGATTAGTGTTGCAGGGTTTTACCAAAGTCACAGAAGCTATCGGCTGTCCTGCAAGACAGCTGACCCTTGGTTTTTCTGGGAGTTGCAAAGCAGAATTTAGTTGGGTATGAACTACTATGGTGATAACTGATGTCATCTTCTACTCTTAATCTTCTATAATTATGCACATTCATATGCAAAGAATTAATAAACTATCAAATTATGAGTATTTGTAGTCCTCTGCTACAGTGTTGTCTAGAAGCGCAGAAAATGTGTTGCAGAACACTCAAGAAGGAGAACACAGCATACCCTTGTTACAGAAAGAAATGTGATGAACAGTTGTTTGTTTTTCTTTTTAATAAATACCACCTACGCTGGCCTTTATGCAATATTGAAGTCAGCAGAACACAGCAGAATGAATAAAATCCTATCTCCCACCTTGTCCTGCTATCTCAGTCCCCTGTGCCTACACAAATACTGTAGCCCTGCTGAAAGCCAGCCCAACTCCAGTTTTTGTGGCTTACCAGTGATCTGAAAGCAAGAGCTCTGCTGACATTTCAGGAACAAGCTAGTTGTTGCAAGGGAACATGTCTGCATTTCTGAATGCTGGGCCACTGTGGACAGTTGAAGAGCGGTCCTGCAAAGTTGGTTGGGTCCTGCATTGTGGTCACAACAACCCCAGGCAACTCTACAGACTTGGGGAGGAGTGGCTGGAAAGCCGCCTGACAGAAAGGGACCTTGGTGTACTAATGGACAGTCAGCTGAATATGAGCCAGCAGCGTGCCCAGGTTGCCTAGAGGGCCAGTGGCATCCTGGCTTGTATCAGGAATGGTGTGGTGAGCAGGACTAGGGAAGTAATCTTGCTCCTGTACTTGGCACTGGTGAGGCCTTACCTCGAGTACTGTGTTCAGTTTTGGGCACCTCAGTTCAGAAAGGACACTGAGGTGCTGGAGCAGGTCCAAACAAAGGCAACAAGGTTTGTGAAGGGCTTGGAGAATATGCCCTACAAGGAGAGACTGAAGGAACTGGAGCTGTTTAGTCTGGGGAAAAGGAGGCTGAGGGGAGACCTTATTGCTCTCTTCCAATATCTGAAAGGTGAAGTGGCCTCAAGTTACACCAGGGTAAGATTAGGTTGGATGTCAGGAAACACTTCTTTACAGAAAGGATTGTTAAGCACTGGAATAGGCTCCCCAGAGAGGTGGTTGAGTCACCATCCCTGGATATGTTTAAAAACTATTCGGATGTGGATCAGGAACATGATTTAGCAGAGGGTTGTTAGAGTTAGGGTAGTATGGTTAGGCTGTGGTTGGACTTGATGATCTTTAAGGTCTTTTTCAACCTGAACTATTCTGTGATTCCAAAGTGTTTACTTTTGCTGTTTGAAACTTTGCTGTGCTGGATTGTCACCAAACTCTTAGCTAAATAGGGCCCAGTAATAGGCTATTAGCAGGTCAGCTGTTGTTTCTGCTTTAGCAGAGCAGTAAATCTTGGCTTACCTTGGCTCCTAACTTCTCTTACTAACCTTATTTAGTAGGATGACATTGCCTCCGTAAGAGTGAATCAAACAGTTTCTTCCAAGCAGAACCAGCATTTTCAGAACAATTGTTACACTGCTGCTTAATTACTTTATCATTTTAGAGAGAGTGACCATTTTAGAGGGGTTGAAATTGTTTTATGTACTAAAGATCTGATAATAGTGCTGTTCTCAAGCTTCAAAACGTATCCTTGACTTTTGGGGCCTTTGAGTTCAGCTGCTTCATGGTCGCAGCCTCTCCACAACTGTGAAAGATAGAATAGTTTCTAACAATGTTTGAGGTTGTCATCCAATAGTGTACACTCTGTTTTGTGACCCAAAAGAAGTAAATCTTGAGTACTGGTAATACAAAATCTTTCTGAACAGTTGAACACAGCCAGCTTCAGCAGAAATCTTTGTAGGCTCAATAACTTTAAAATTCTGAATTCTTTTGAAAAACTTGCAGCAAAGAATGTCCTTAATCTCACAAATGACCAGCGTTCTATCTTTTCTGGAATCAAATCCTGTGAAAAATGTATGTTCTCCAGGGAACGAAACTTGTTTTTGGATAGTGATGTGACAGATAGCTCATTGCACTTCATGAACTAAGAGGGGAAAATGTAATCTGGTACAGAAGAGGGTGGATATGTATAAATATTGAGGATTATTATGCAATTTTACCCACTTACCTACAGTCAAAAGGAACTCAGAAATGCAAATGGACATAGATGATGTGCTTGTTGTTTGCTTTTCCTTCCTGAAGCAAAGATGCTGTCCTCTGCTGGAGCCCTGTCAGCATTACACATGACAGAAGGAAATGAAGTAGCTGTGTCCTCCTGTAACCCTTCTGTAACTATCGCCTTCTAGGTAACGCTCGGCTGCACTTTCTGGTCCTGGTGACGGGCTGTACGTCGGTGGGAAAAATCCTGGACGCTGAAGTTTACAAAATTACTGCAACAGATTTCTGTCCTCTCCAGGAAGAAACAAAGGAAGAGGAGCGTGTAACTGCCTTGAGGAAAATACTGAACTCTGGGATGTTCTATTTCTCCTGGCCTAATGCAGGCTCAAACTTTGACCTGACTGTGCGAGCTCAGAAGCAGGGTGATAACCACTATGAATCTGGTAACTCGTTCTTCTGGTTAGTACTGCATGTTTGTACCCAAGTCTTCTGTCAGCCCCATCTGTATGTTGCAGGTCAGACATCCTCAGTGAGAAAGGAACATGTGTGTTCCAGATGTGTCACCCTTCATTGTCACATACTTTTACATGATCTGTGGCCTTAGTGAATTCACTGTAAAGCAGGATCAATAAAGTAACTTTCATTTAATTAAAATTAATCTGATAGTGAAATGCAATTCTAATAACTGGAAATGTCTTAAAAAAAACAGCAGAAATAAGGTTTATTGTTCATGCTACAGAAATTCTCCTCTGCAAGTTATGAATAGTTTCCCCTGCAGTAATAATTTGCTTTAAAAGTTGTCTGACAGTAACCTCCACTTCGACTTTTCATAAATCACATCATCTATGCTGACATATCTTATACATCTTAAAAATGTATGAGTTTGGAGACTGTAGTTTAATCCTTCAATAAGTGCCCTAGTTTTTGTTTTGAAAGCATCAATATTAATATGTTTGCAGCTCAGTGTAAATGTTGCACAGGAGACTCCAGTGATCCACTGCTCTGCAATCCTTATTGTGCCTATAAAGCAAAGTACAAGTATTTCTTGTTGGAAAATATCAGTTGAATGGAATGGAAAACACAAGTGCTGGGTTTTATATCAGCTGGGTGGGTTCACCATGAAGACAGATTTTCTTTACAAGTTCTGGCAGTGTTGGTTTATGATTTTGGTTTTTGTTTTGTTTTACACACAAAGATATATAGGAAACATAGTTGTACTGGAGATAAATAAGGATGTGGTCTCAATACGTCTTATGGACTGAAGTAGGTGAATATAAAATAGGCAAAACAATTCATGATGACTTATAAACATGAGAGAGCAATTCATTCAGGCTGAATAGTCTTTCTAGTTATTATGTTATTTCAAATTATAAGGGTTAGAGTTGCTATTTTCACTTAGAAGGGAGATATGTAAAACTTGCTTTCGACTTTTCTAATCATGCAAAATCAAAAAAGCTCAAAAAGCTCTCCAAGCATGTCAAGTCTGATACATGTTACAAATGAGCTGTGTTTCAGTGTAGAAACTCCGAAGATGGCAGTATCTCCTAGTTAAAAAAAAAATATATATATATAAATATATATAAAATATATAAAAAGAAACATATATATATATATGTATATAAACTTTTAAAGTAACCCTTTTTACCTGTATCATCTTTTGAAGTTCTTGGAAAGTAGGTGTTTGAAACCTTCTGAATATTCTTTGTTGTTTCTGGCTAATCCAGTGGTAGCTCATGAAGGAGTTCCACTGTAGAACAGGGATAAATGGCAGCAAAATCACATTTAGCACAAAAAGATGCTCCAAAGAAAGTTTATCTTGAGGCATTTATGTGATATGGGAAATGTTAAAAAAGCTTCAGACAAGCTTAATTATAAGCAATGCAACTTATCTGTTAATTGAACGGCAACGATAAAAAAAAAAAGTACTGGAATTTGCCTGAGCCCTCACTCAAACTTCCTCTTTGAGTGGAGCTAGGAAAAGAAGGTGGAAGGGATATACCACAAATTGTTTTAGAGTTGCTTTTTCAGTTACATATCAGTTTAAAAATGTAAGATTGACTTGTACCTTTTCAGAGAGATGTTGTACTCAAGAAATATAATCCTTCAGGGTTTTTCTGTAGGTGTAATAATTCTTGAAGAGATGTGCTGTGGAGCAATAAATGATCGTGAGGGGTTTTCTCTGCCTTCATCTGTGATGAAAGTCACATTTTGAAAAATGGAGAGGAAAAGGTCACAATAGAGGAGACTAACATCACTGTTAACCGGGCATGATAGATTTCTTGGGTTGTTGGTCTTAAAATAAATTGAAGGTTAAAACAGCCTTTCTTCTAAATTTTAATAGCACTTTTTGTGACATCTCCATTGACTTATAGGTCCAGTTTCTGCTTGAAGTTTTCCTGAAAATCTTGATGGGTTTTAAAATGGACCTTCATCCTGTAGTGTTTGTTAAGGTCTAGGCAGCACTGTTCAAAAAATAATTAGTTTAACAGGACTGTAATTTAAGAAAAAGACTGCTCAATATTTATGTATTTCTTGAGCTAGAAGAAGCAACATTTGCATCTGAATTTATAAGCCAGAGGGGCAGAGTGTATGTGACAGTAGTGTACTATCAAAATTTGAGATGCTTTTTTCACCATGTTAGTACACAAGGATTTCCTCCTGATATTTCCTCATTTTAGATAAGGTGAAACTGCAACAGAAAAGGGGTCAAAAAATATAAATTGCTTAAATTGGTGATTGTTGTGCGATCCATGCCTGCCTTACCTTATTGGGTAACAGTTATGTATGTTGTTGAACTTTGCAGGAACCAGCTACTTCATGTTCCATTCAAACACTACCAGGTGAACTGCTCTGACTGGTTGCTGAAAGTGATCTGTGGTGTAGTGGACATTCGCACTGTTTATGCTTCCCACAAGAAGGCAAAAGCCTGCCTTATCTCTCGGATCAGCTGTGAGCGAGCTGGTGCCCGGTTTCACATTCGAGGGGTCAATGATGATGGACATGTGTCTAACTTTGTTGAGACAGAGCAGGTAAGTGAACGTATCCGTTAGCCCTGAATAATTCAGTTGGCTACTGTAACTGGGGCAGAGTTTTCAAGAATTAAAGGAGTTCAGCAAGTTTTTTTCAATGAATATTTAAAATATTATTCCACGACATCTATTTATTCTTTCTTACCCGTTAAATGTTTCCTTGCAATCTATTTTTTTTTTTTTTTTTTTTTGCGTTTCTGTTTTTTCCGTATTTTTGATTTTTTTTTTTCCTGAATGTGAAAGTCATGGCTGTTTGATATTGTGGTGAAGTATAGACATTGGTTTTTGAACAACTCAGAGAGCTAATTTGTGTGAAACCAGCGTGTTTAACAAGAAGGTATTTGATTGCATGCAACTTACTTAGCATTAGTCATGAGGCCTGTGTACAAGTATTAAACAAAAGGTTGTTTTAAAATCTATTCCAGAATAAATGTTGTTTTCTTAACATATGTTTTAAAGTAATCTTGAAGTCATCACACTTACTATACTAGGTAATGTTTGATAAAACTAGTTTGAAAGAGTTGTTATAAAGCAAAAGTCTGTATACTTTCTTTCTTTCTTTCACTCTTTTAAAGTATCTCTGGTAGTCCACACTACCAGGTTTGCTGGAATAGCCACTGAACGTCTCCTGCACTATAGTGGCATAATCAGTACTACACTGAAGTAAAAGGATTCTGTTAGGGATGCTGCAAGTAATTTTCAGCTGATGTTTGCTTCTGGCTCTTGAGGAAGACTCCTAGAAATAGGAGAAAAGGAGAAAATAAATTTCTGTGAATGCGTGTATTAGCATGTAAAGTTACTCCTACTTGCCTTGAATTGTAGCTGTCATCTCTTTCTGCAGTAAGTTTTTCAGCTTTAAATGAGGGTAATTTACTAATTTCTTGCCTCACAGGGCTTATGCCTTATGCCACATTTATAAACAGGTAGGTATTATGATGATTGCTGTACTGTCGTGAAGAGGAACTCCTACTACTCAGATACATCATACTAGTCAGAAGGAAACTGCCCAGCAAAGGAACTGTGGTCACTAGAAGTAAAGTCATCTTTGACTAGTAAAGAAAACAAAGCAAAAACACAATCTTCTCACAGTTAGGCAAATTCCAGTGCAACTCATTTTGGAAGAGACTCTACGTGCCCCTTTGCTTTATGGGGCTGTTCTCTCTAATGAGAGATAGATAATACAGCTTTTGTAAATATGTAGTAGAAACCTTATTTTCAGCTGATACTGAGAGGAAATACACGAGTGAAGTACATTCAACATTCATTTGATTGACACAGCAAATCAAAATAACAGCCTGTTGGTTTTACTGTACTTGCTACTTAGAAAATGAAGAAAAAGCATTGGACCCTGAAGAATCTGAAATCTTTACCAGCTGCAATGAGTGCTTCCCTTTTTGAATCAAAACTGAAATTACTAGGAGTCAGAAATATACTTAAAATACAGAAATGGATGTCTCCATAAGTGGAATAGATACATGTACTGGTAGTATTTCTCACAAAGAACAAGGATCCATTCATAAAACTTACTTGTTTTCAGTGTCTTTTGGACATCTTTGCAAAACAACATATGTAGCATAGTATATTTATCTGTATGTACATATGCATCTCTGTATATATATTCAGGTGCAATGAAAGTAGATAGATTACTTAGATGATTCATACCTCTTCATAAGGAAGATTGGTGACACCCTCTTGCATGATATAGTTGAATTTCTAGCTTTGCCTTCACCTCAAGATGATGTCCCACCTCACAAGTGTCTATCCTTGAGCACTGTGTTTCCTCGTGACGTTGGCATTGTGTGAGTGTCGCAGCTTACTCAGTTCTGTCATTTCTGTTACCCCACTGCATGATGTAAGCATACATTCTGACACCTGTTTCCCTAAAATCCAGCAATCCTTTAAGATGTTGCCTTGGTGTTACAGCTTAAAGATCTTCCCCTGATTCTGCTTAAGTACACATGTAGAACTACCTTAGATGTGACAGTACTGCATTGCTTAACTGAAGAGCCTGGAGGAGTCATAGACTGGTATTACTTGGTCTTCCTGTGATGTTTAATCCCCCTGAAATTCTCATAACATGCACATTATTACACACATAACTTTCTGTTCAGTTCTTATTTGGGATGTGGATGGCTCTTTGCTTATATCTCTTTTTTTTTCCCCAGTTTGCCTGCATTTTTCAGTAGCCTGGCCAGGAGGGCTGAAGCACATCTGCTATGTAGACAAACTGAGAGAGTTGGGATCGCTCAGCTGATTGTGCAGCCTTTCACTACCTAAAGGAGGCTTACAAGAAAGCTTTATCAGAGCCTGTAGGATAATGGCTTTGAACTGAAAAAGATTAGATTAGATATAAGGAAGAAATTATTCACTCAAAGCATGTGAGGCACTGGAACAGGTTGTCCAGAGGATCCGTGAATTCCCCATCCCTGGAAGTGTTCAAGATCTGCTTGGATGGGGCTGTGTGCAACCTGATCTAGTGGAAAGTATCCTTTCCTGTGGCAGTGGGGTTGGAACTTTAAGGTCCTTTCCAACTCAGACTGTTCTGTGATTCTAAGTAATGCTTGTTGTATTGTAGAATCACAGAATGGCTTGGATTGGAAGGAACCTTAAAGATCATCCAGTCCCAACCTTCTGATGCACTAGATCAGACTGCCCAGGACCCAGTCCAATTTGGCCTTCTACTGCAGTACTTGGACCTCTAAATTCAGCCTGTGAGTCCTCTGCTAGTAATTCTCTTTTGTATCTCTGATTCAGAGAAACTGCAAGTCAGATCCTGCAGCATGTACAACTTTCTAGAAAGTTTGTCAGTGCATTGAGTAATGCAGATAGGTCTGCTTGCCGAAAAGTGGAATTTTCCTCTAGGACTTGGAAACAGAAAAAGGGACATATGCCATTTTATGTAATAACTTGGTCTACTCTTTTAGTTGAGTGCCTTCTCATGAGCATTCATGCAAAATATGTTACTCAGGATTTGAAGAGTGTTCTCTTGCTGAGATGCAAAGGAAATGTTAGAAGGTTGTCAGCTTTCTTTCAAATTGGTCTCACATTCGTGGCACTACAGTTAACAGTTGTCTAATTATAGGGAATACTTCTGCTATTCTGCTCACTGGTTGGGTCAAAAGTTACTCTTCTATTTAATTATATGTTTGGAGTAAATTTTGTTGCAAATTATTAGCATGAAAAATAAGATTGCCTTTGCATCTCAGCAGAAAGCTTGGAGATTAGCTCCTGGTGAACTGCAAAACAGCAGTTGGTTACTAATGCTTCCCTTGGCTGGGGCCAGGGCAGGTTTTTCACAGGAGCTGCTATGCTTTGTTGCAGTTAGCCAGGGGTTGCTGTGAAGTGGGAGGACTGAAGGCTTTTGATAGTTTTGCAATTGGTTAAGCAAAAAAGCAAGAGTAAAATGGTTGCAGGGCAGAAGGCTCAAGTAGGTTGAAATTATAACAAGGACTTGCAATTTTGAAGGATTATGTTTTTGTTTTTAAAGAAGAAAAGAAGTTTGCTGTTGCTAATGGTGATAAACACTAGTTCTACCAAAATGAGCATCCTAAAAAAGCAAAACTGGGCTAACCACTGAGATGCCTGAGATCCAGTTCAAGCTGGCATCCACTTACTGTTAGGAAGGAAGAGTCCAAGAAAAAACTCTCTCCTACTTTCATAGTAGACTACTGACTAATCTCCTATGAGGTAATATCTTGGCTGAATAACATTTTGTTTCCATTTGCTGCAGCCTTTACGGTATAATGGCATGCTTACTCTGTGCTTTTATGGATAAGTAGCACCCTAGGATTTTGAAAAGCCAGGACTTTTCCCCCCTTAATAGGAATTGCTTCTAACATTTTTCTGTTTTTAGAAGGGGGAGAAACATTTAGTTTTATCTCCAGGCAGCTCTATTATGCATGGATGTTATGCTTGTGTCTCCCACTGTGCTAGCCTTGTGGCATTTTAGCTCTGCAATGAGTCATTTTTGTGGGCTCACTGAACTGCTGTGACTCACAGTGTTTGAGAAGAAGTGGGGAAAAGTTAAATATCTCATTTACTTTTGTTTTTCAAAAACGCACACACAAAAAACAAAACAAAGCAAAAAAAAAAAACCAACAACAACAACAACAACAACAAAAAAACCACACCACCAACAAAAAAACAAACCAGGAATCAACAAAAAGTCCTCTACCAGTAGGTCTTTTGGATATTTGATGATTTGACTTGCATCTTTATAAAGGAAAAAATTTTAAAAAAATAGTAGGATTGGCAAGCAAAAATAAAACACAAAGGAGAGAAAAATGAGGGCTTTTTTTGAAATCTCTCTAGTGTGTACTTCCAAATTTGCTGCTAGGTTTGTTTGTTTTTTTTTTTAAATATATTGGCATACCCTTTCTAATTGCAGAGTTGCAATTAATCCTCAAGTTTTAAAATCAGTCAATTTTCCTTTGGTAGTTTAAATGATACATTTTTACTTTGTTCATATCTGTTTGATAGGTACCTGCTGAGAGCAAAGTTTGCTTTGTTTGCTTTTCTCCTTCCTCATCACCCTTTCTACCTTGCCTAGCTATCTGCTGAAGCTGAGGCTGTATCACATTCTTTTAATTCTTCTCTGCTAATAACGTTAAGAAGAAAGCATGTTTTCCTCATTTAGTTTGTGTGCTCATCACTGCTTACATTTCAGCTCCTGCCTTGGATATTCTCCACAGATTGAAGGTAAACTCTTAATGTTTTAGTATATAACTTAGGGGAACAACTCTGATTTACCAAAGATAAACAAATGGTTTCAATTGTTTTCCCTTTCATGGAACTGTTCAGAGAAGTGTCTAATATGGAAACCTTGACAAGGCATTAGAAGGAAATGCCATGAATTTAGATTGATGTTCCCTTTATTCCAGTTTAAGAAAAAAAATATTGGACACCGATGAAGAAAAATGATCCCTATTTCACAATATCTCCTGGGCATGTTGGATAGCTCTCCAGGCTAGGAATGGATGCAATCATGTGGTTAATTTATTTTCTGGATACAGTCTTACTGTGGCCACAGGCAGGACAGAGAGGATTATTTTGGCAAGTATATTATTGCGTCCTGTTGGTCTGAGTTAAAGGGACTCCTGGAGAGGTAGGTTTAGGCCATCTGTTATCTGTGCTTTTTGTGAGTGGTGTGAGAGAGATGGAGATCCCAGAAAAAAGCCACATTGGAATCCATTTCATCATGAACTGTGCGTGAGTTTCTTGAGTATGTGATTAATTTTATCATTGGAAGTTGTGGCTGGATAATTATTTCCTTCTAATGAAGCCGAGCAGGAGATAGAGTTTAGTGAATAAATTATTCACTAAGTGATAAATAGGAGAGGCATGCTGGGATTATAACACCAGCTAGTTGAAGAAGTTGCTTGTTTCTTGCTCAAAGCCAATAAACAGTACCTGTTCACCAACTTTTGCTGTGTACCAGGAGAGGTCCTTGGATTGGAGGGTCAAGGTCTGGCTGTATGCAACTGAAGAGAAAGCATGAGATTGTTGCCCTCTTGAGCTGTCAGCACTATCACCCTTGATCCCAGAGTTGGAGAAAGTAACCATAAAAAGAAACTAAGCAGGAGTCAAAATAAACACAAGACAATTTCTAACACCAGATGTCAGAGGACAGGAGATGTATTTATTAACAAGGCAAAAAGGTCCTCCATGCAGATTAAGTATTCAGTTGCTATTATGTTGCCTGATTGAAAACTTGAAAATATATCTCAAAAATATATCTCTTCATTCAGCTAAATAGGTTGGATTGTTTTACGGTCCAGACCTTTTGAGAATCAAGCAGTCATCCTTGAGTGTTTTGAAAATTTGATAGGAATGAATGTTCTCCTTGGGACAAGTAGTCAACAGCATGTGTTCATTATGGAGGTAAGGCTCCTCAAAAGGTTAGTTTTCTGAAGCACAAAGACAAAGTAATCATAGCATTAGCAGCTCGTATCAACCCTAACAGCAAAGCATTATCCAAAATGGGGCTGATAATTGTTTAATGGTTAGAGGAACATGTGGTCTTCTTGGATGTGTTTCCTGTCCATGAGTTAAACAAAGGACAGGTAAATTCTGGAAATAAACCACTGTTTAAAAAGGAACAGCCTTTTATCTTATACTGTTCATCTTTCATGCGCTGCCTTAGAAGAGAAATGGGTCTACTAGGGCACAGGGCAACCAAGTCAAAACCAGAATGACAAAAAAAGCAGGACATATATGTGCTTGTTGAAAACATCACACAACAAAAAATGATCTCCAATAAGAGAAAAGAAATTCGGTACTTATCCACTAGTAAATACTGGAATTGCATAAGCAGCAAAGTTAGTTTTTTGTTTGTAATTGTAACTGTAACAATTTACAATTGTAATTTCACCATGGCTTATTTAAGTAAGGTTAAGTAATGTGTCTTATTATAGTGTGTATAGGTGTTAAGATTACATCCATTCCTGAACTAGGCAGTCATCTTAGTCTCTGTTTTTGAAGCTGCTCACTTAGGAGGTCTGCTGGTAGGAAGGTTTCTGCCATTGTTATTGTTAAGGTCAAGGGATGTGCATAGGAGAAGGCAGTGTCAAGATCATGGGTCATAGTGGTGAATAATGAAGGGCAATGAATACTACTGAAATTTAGGGAAGGTTTACTCGGTTGTAATGCCTAGTAAATTTGTTACAGTCTGTTTAGGAAGGAATGACTGTCAGTAACTGGGAGTTACCCTCTCATTCATTAAAAAAAATATGAGGTCCTTTTCCAACTCACTGGCAGCTTTGAAGAAAATAATTTTAGATTCATCTGGGTCACGAGAACGAGCTGAGAGGATTGTGAAAGACCACAGAATTGCTCTAGAGAACAGAATGCCAAGCTCTGTAAAAAGCAAAAAGAAACATGTGCGAATGTGGAGAACTTTCTTGTGAGTGTACTGAAGAGGCCATGCTCCCAGTTCAAAAACGTCATTTGAATTTCTGAAAGCTATGTGATGATGTGCATAAAAATACCAATTTGTTTAAAATGCCTTATCATCATAGGCAAGTTCAATATTTGTCCTCATCCTTACAAAGGATCACCACATCAGGCTATAGAGATCATGTTTGATGACAGGAATGATCCACAAATAGTTATTTGAACATGTTTTTTTGTTTCAATTCTCCAAATGACAGCTTAATAGAGCAGAAAATAGAGGAGGCAACAGTGAACAGAAAATGTAAATAATAATATAAGCAAACATCTGTTAACTCTTACAACGTCAAATCACTGGTAAATGGAAATGTGAGCAGAGTGAAAATTCTGTCAGTGCAGAAAGGCAGAAATGTTTGGTCAGTATTTTTCTATTGTATTTGGCATAAAGAAGGAAGGTTATATGCTCAGGGTCTATAAACTGTGGTGAAATACTTGCTATTTAAACTGTAGCTCAGGAAGATGTTAAACTGCAGCTATTAAAGTTAGAATTATTATTGTTTCTAATCAGTGAATCTAGAGAATTTGCAGCTGAGATGTTTAAAAAAAAAAAAGAGCTAACCAAAGAGATACTTGCAACTGTGAAGTTTTCTGTTAGTTATGGAAATTGGGATGCTCCAGAAGATTTCAGGAAAACGGGTCCTCTGCAGCAAGTTGTTTGAGTGGCCAAATTGTACTTTATGTGAAGCTTTGTCTGTAATCATCGTCACCAAATGTAATGTTTTATTTCATCTCATCACTGATTGTTCTTGTCAAATTTTGGGGCGATCCAGTCTTGACTTCTCATAGATTCAGGAATCCTTGGTTAGTATGAATCAGAATAATACTGAGTCTGTCAGTAGAGCAATACAAATTTACTTACTTTAGACTGGATCCTCTGGATCCTTGGCTGTGTGCGAATAGATAGATGATTGGGTGTTTAGAAGTCTCTGACTCATCTTTGACAGCCTGTCTCAGGAAATGAAGAAGGGGAGCCTGCTCACTCCTCCTGCAGTCCAGCTGTGGGGTTATTGTGGAGCTAGGAGCTGGACTCCTTTTGAAGCTGGTTCTTTGTTTCTGTGATTTCTTCTGAGCACAGAATTGTAAAGAAAGGTACATAAATGTGTTACCATGGTAATTAGTTCTTGCATTCAGGTATGGGTAACATTTAGAAAACTTCATTGGAAGTGCATGTTTCTGAAGCTGAGGTAGACCTTGCAAAGAGGCTTCAATCATCAACGTACTAATATGAAGTACCTGCTCTTTCTTCCTGGAGTGGTACTAGGGTGAGATGCAATGTAGAAGGGCACTTAGTTTATTGGTTTAAGGCTAAAAGCATAACATTTTGTCGTGTGTCAGAGCTAGCCATCATTCAGATGTGCACTTTGTGTCCTTGTCCGCTTAATTCTTTCATCTTAGCGAAATGGGGATAATTTTGAGGGCACTACAAAAATATTGTAAAAGTTATCTAAATAAAACTGATGACAGAATATGGAAATACCTGCCTCTGTGACGTATGCTTCTTTTCACACGTGGAACTAAAACCTGTGCATTGGTGGCAAGATTGAGGTTCAGGTAAGGTGCTTCACCTGATCCACCCAACTGGAACATCTAGTGGCAAATCCAAAAGCAAAAAACCACAGTAAAGTGGTATGGTAATTCATTTTCATGCTCTTTTCTATTTTGGGGGCTAGCAGACAGCTGGCAGCAGTTGTGCTAAATGATATGATGCAGTTAGAGAAGCAGCTACCTGAGTGACCTGTATGGATACCATTCCTCTGCAGGGCTGCAAAAGGCTCATTGTGATGCATGAGATAACAGAGATGCATATCATGTGTCACATGTGGAAAACAGCCAGGATTCCGCTGCTAAGTATAGGCTGGGGAGAGAGCTGGGTTTCACACAGTTGCTCTGTGGTCATACCCTGTCTGAAGATAGTACCTTTTGTGCTAAGTTAATGTATAATGTGAGCTTTGCCTGGAAGCTGGTGGAGGGGGAAGCTAACTGGCGATATCAGTCTTTGCATTTCACGTGAATTTGAATAGAAATCAGTTTGGTAGCAGTGATCATAACAAATATGCAGCAGGAGCTTGAGGTCCAGTCTGGGAATGCAATGGAGAATTTGGAGCCTCTGGCTATAAACCATCTTGAAGAGAAATAGATAAAGCACTGTTCACTGTGTCCTGGAATGGGAGTGGCAAAGTTGTTGGTTTCACAAAGATTTATTTGAACATTGACAAGGCATGACATGCTGTGGAATAAGAAATAGTAAATAAAGCATGGGATAAGCCTGTCCCACACCTGACATTACTCATCATCAGTCACAAGGAGCAACGACATTTTGCAGTTAAATTTTGTGAGAGAGACAGAGGGAGAGCATGTCCTGGTCTTCCTGAGTTTCCGCACCAGTAGATCAAATCCATCTTTGTCGTGGATGAAAGATTCCTTCTGCCTTGCCAGTGGTACTGTTTTAAATTCTCTCTTATTTCTGGTGAGTAATGAACCGAATCTGCTGTGAGTACATGAAAGCAAATACGTTGTACTTTGTTCCACTGCCTGTGAGACCATGGAAAAGTGGCTGAGCAGTAAGGGGATACGGTGAGATACGCTGTTTACTTTTTTCACCCTTTGTGTTCAGGTCTCAAACACATTTGATGAGGGAGTCACAGATGGATAGCTCTAATTGGAGAACTCCTTCCGTTTGTTTTATTTTTGCAGACAATTTACTTGGATGACGATGTCTCTTCCTTTGTGCAGATCAGAGGTTCTGTTCCACTGTTTTGGGAGCAACCAGGGCTTCAGGTAAAAAAATAAATTGAAAAGCTTATCTTACTTCTCTTTCTACTTCTAAGTAATTAGTTTTGTAACTTTATTTTTTTTTAATGCGGCACAGAGCTCATTCTATGGAAATGCTGAGCTATTTCTCTTTTTAGGTTTGCTTTATAGGAAATTGTATTTAGATAAAGGGGAAAACCAACCAAACAACACAACAGGCAAACAGATATAGTCACTGAAGTTCAGCATTTTCACATGTTCACGTGCCTCTGCTGGAAAGTTTTTGTATGGGATTATATCCTGATGTCCTAAACTAAAGGTTACAGCAATATCGTTATAATACTTGTTATTCCAAAACAAATAAACTTTCATTCTGAACTGTTTGGTTATCAAGAGCATTCTGATGATACTGACCTCCCGGATAAAACTGGAGTATTTAGGGATAACAGCAGCTCTATCTGCTCTATAGAGCTTTATCTTCAAAGTATAATGTTTAGCCTGTTCACTAGGTTTCAGTCAAACAGTAGCAATTATCTGACCTGACCTTCTGCAAGGCAAGGATGTAGGATTTCATTAGGAGATTAATGCGTGAAGCCTGGCAGGTTACGTATGTGTTACAATTTATGTACTGTTAAAAGCTCGACAAAGAATCATCCTACCATTCCTCTCAGAGCAGAGGGATAAGCAACTAGTCTGACTATGCACATTCATTCGTATGTGTTAGTGGAGAGATGTCACATAACTTTTTTTTTAAGATTCTTTAATAATTATTTGATACATCTTTATCTTTAGATCTAGCACCTAAATACCATTCAGAATTCACCTGTTGGTGAATACTCATTACTCTTATTCTTTGTCCATGAATGTGCTGGCACTAGTGTTGGAAAGGCTTGCGTAAATCAACCTTAGGAAAATAACAGAAGGTGATGATGTACAGACAGCAAGATATGATCTTATAAATAATTAGCAGTGTAGATTTATGGCACAGGATTTGATTAATCATATTTCATAGAATCATAGGATAGTTTGGGTTGGAAGGGACCCTTAAGATAATCTAGTTCCAACCCCCCTGATATAGGCAGGGACCAGGTTTCCCAAAACCCCATCCAGCCTGGCCTTGAATGCTTCCACAACTTCTCCAGGCAACTTGTTCCAGTGTCTCACCATCCTCACAGTAAAGAATTTCTTCCTAGTATCTAGTCTAAATCTATCCTCTCCCAGTTTAAAGCCGTTTCTCCTTGTCTTGTCACTACATGCCCTTATAAAAAGTTCCTCCCCAGTCCATGGAGCTAGCATAACTGCAGCCTTTTCTGAGGGATAAAGGGCAGGAAAAGTGATGGGCACGCAGCATATTCATGTGATGCAGTGTGGGTTATCTGCTAGAGAGAGTTGGCAAGGGGAAGTGATGATTTATTTGGTTATAAAAAGATGTGTAGAAGATATCCCTTTGCTTAATAATAATCTTTTCCCTTGTAATTGTAAATGTTGTGTGATAAAAGCTATGGCTTTTGTGTTCAGGATTTTATGTATGTGGGTGTGTGAAGACTGTTAGGAGTATCCGGTGCTGTTAAAGATATGCTTGTCTCTTAAGGAAAAAGGGAGACATCTAGTGATTTACAGATAATTTCTTTTTTCTTTCCAATATTTTATTTTAGGTGGGTTCTCATCATTTAAGGCTTAACAGAGGTCTAGAAGCTAATGCTCCTGCTTTTGATAGGTAAGCTTCATTCAACTTTGGCAGTAACACAGCAGCCTGGCATTTAACTGAGATTCCACAACTTTATGTGTTCTCACTGAATCATTAGAGATATGAAATACCCCTCCTATGAGGTTGCCAGTCCCCCAGGCGTTGCAGGATCATTATGTGTGTTTACTTTATTCACTTACTCTCATGAATTTTCCTCTCTATTTACATTTGTAATTGAAATGATTTGGTCTCCTAGCTTGATTCTGGAAAAGCTATGAAATACTGAGTGGTATGCCAAAGACCTGTGTATCCTCTTGCAACATTTAAATAAATCTGAATTTACAGTACCCATGTGTTCTTTACCTCTGGAATTCAGGCAATTAAAAATTTGACATCACTTCCTAACCATTTTGGATTTGCTATACTGAAATAATAGCATCTTATTCTGTCGCAGCTGGTGCTGTTGTGCTGATGGTCTTTTATGTTACCTTTTATGAAAGGCTGGCTGGTAAACTTTTTTAAGCTATTAAGACTTAACATGGCATCTATAAATCATTAAAAAGTCTCTCTCTCAGCATGATTTCTGTGAATGTCTTAATGTGATGTCCCATGGACATCAGTGAAAACATTACATAAAGTGTTTGGTCGGTAGGAAATTTTTAATTTGTTAAGTGCTATGTCATGTGATTCATTTCTGATTTGCTTTGGTTTTGGCAAATCAGTCCAAGCTAAAAGGTGGTTTTAGGTAAAATGTCTTAATTCCATGGATTCATTTGCTGTAACTGTTAGCAAACGTGATCTTATGAACTGTTAATAGTTTTGCTCTACTGAAAAGCCCCAAACAGGATCTGGAATCTGAAGGGTCTGTGTACCATAGCAGTCCCTGCTCCAAAGGAACTTAGTCCAGATTCTGAAAGCCTGTTAAGACTCCTAAATGCCACTGAATTCAAATATGTTGGAGACTCATGGTCTTGCTGTCCTCTGGTGCCATGTTAATTTGCTTCACTACTTTTCCTGAGTTTTTTGTCATACAGTTCTGCATTCCTTAGCAGAGAGAATTCATGTAAGAAAACTTTTCTAGCATCCTCCTATTCTGCACAACAAATTGGGAGTACCTCAGTCAGGAACTACTCTGTAACACCTTTTTGCTCAGGGATCTGTTCTCTCTGATTGCAACTGGTGAGAATTAGCTCTTGTGAGAAACATGAATTTGCACTGTTCCTTCTTTGCCTTGTGCACAGAAAAGCCTCTAGGTTAGGTGAAGTTCAGGATCTCTCTTTTTGCAGAACTGCTAAAGACAGCCTTTTGGAAATCATGGATTCATAGAATCTCAGAATGGCCCGGGTTGGAAGGGATTCAAGGATCATGAATCTCCAACCCCCTGCCACAGGCAGGGCCACCAACCATTTAATACTAGACCAAGTTGCCCAGGGCCCCATTCAATCTGTCTTGAACACCTCTAAGTATGGGACATCCGCAACCTCTCTGGGCAGCCTGCTCCAGCAAATGGACAAAGCACATGCATGAAAGCAGGCTCTCAGACATAACAACATGCTACAGTTTCTGAGTGTGCTAGAGAGAGTTTAGCCTGTTAGATTTTCCGGTGTGATAGTTAATGCTTTGAGAAGACACTGTGAGAAGCAAACAGTTATCTTGTTACTGGATCTTTTTCTGTCCCCTTTCCCTGACAAATTCTTGGGGAGCTCTTCTCATGACAGGTGACCTGTGTTTCAGCAGTTTTGTTCTTTGAAAATAATGTTGCTGGAGAAGCAGGAGCTTGGTGCTGGCATCAGACGGGTGCAGATGTATGGAAAGAGTTGGTGTACAGAGAACTGGCTGCAGAATTGGAAGCACAAATAACGCCAGAAAGTATATCTAGCCATGTTTCTTGAAACATACGATGCTAAGTTTTTCATATCTCCATTGCAGTGGTTGTCTGTGTGGCTTAACTCTGGTTGTAGATTTTAAAGATGCATGCAATAAGATGAATATCTGACACTTTGATTTTCTGACACTTTGTCTTTGCATGTTGCTTTGGAGCAAGTAACAGCTTTCCATTTGTGTAGTTATTTTTCCTGTCTATTCCTATTCAGTTTCCTCTTAAGTATCGCTGTGGTGGTGGCAGTACATGATGGCTAAGGTTCTAGTTGTTTCTTGATAAGCCAGCACAGCTCTTGTAGCATATGTATGCCAACTGGAAAAGAATGTATTAAGGGCAGAATGGGTGTCTTTGTATCTGGCTAAAGGCTCTTGACTTTAGATTCCCTAAATGTCAGGCTTTGAGAGGCTGGAAATATGTGCCAGATGAAATACTTTATACTTGTCCTGTTTGTGTTTCTCATGAAGAATCTGGACCAGGCCATTTTGCTATAAGGACCTTTGGTCTTATCCAGTGTAGCAGTACTTCTATTTACTAACCTTCCTGCTTAATTTTAAGTAAGTTGTGAGTCTCTCAAGGTTGCAGCAGCTCAGAGATGTTTGAACTCATCACCTATGATGTGTTCGTGCCTCTCTGACTTTGGTCTTGGAATCCTACGTTCCATTGTTGCCACTGAATGTTGGCTCAGCAATGCTGGGCAATTCCTGCTGAAGCATAGTCTATTTTCCTTCCTGATCATCTTTTCTGTGCAGCTTCTAGGCTGAGAGCCAAGAGACAGGAACACACTTTGGACAATATCAAAGCTAACAAAAGATCTGGGACCTGCTTCTTAAAATGCTGCTTTTTATGTTCAGTACAAAGTAATATGTTCTTTAATTTCATACTTGCACAACTTGCACTTCAGTATTTGATTGCAAGGAAGCTGAGGACGATGTCTGTAGCTGCCATGGCTGAAGCATGCTAGATGGAACTACCAGTGCTCTCTACTTCTGTGTTTTGGAAAAAAGGTAGTAGGCAGTATTACATGGTTTTGTTTTTATTTTTTGTTATGGTTATTTTTGCTGTAGGCATATGATGCTCCTGAAGGAGCAGTATGGAAAACAAGTGATCGTTAACTTGTTGGGAAGCAGAGGAGGAGAGGAGGTGCTTAACAGAGCTTTCAAGGTAAAAGCAATGCATTTTGTTTTTATTTTGTCGTTGTAAAACTACTGATTTCCTGAGCCTTCACATTTTGTTTTGTTTCTGGGCAAGTACCTGATGAATACTAGACCTGAATACGTTCTTTTTTTTTTTTTTTTTTTTTTTTTTTACTAGATATTACAAGGAATTATGCTTCATAGTCTCTATGACTTGATTTTTCAGGACTGTCTTCTTGCTTATTTCCTTGCACCTTTACTCTTTTAAACCAGAATTTAAAAATAACAATGTCCTAATTGTTCTAAGAGTAGTTCATGTTTTCAAAAAATGAATGCTGGTCAGCTTTGTCCATAGTAAGTAGTCAACAGTGCAGTTACTATATTCTTCCAGGTGCCTCATCAGGTTGTCAGAACTGCTTTTGGGCCAGTACCTTGCTCTACCTTACTAAGAGGAAGATTTGATTGCTCTGATTATAGTGAGAAGTAGCTGTTTACCACTAATTGTGATGGGAATTAACTGTCAGAGCACTAGATGACAGTCTGGCTTGTAGAGAGACATTTTCCTTCTCCCTAAATATCTCCCTAGACATAGCTAATGCTTGAAAGCGTCTGGGTTTCCTTTTCAGGATGGCTGGCACTGGAAGTTTAAAAAGCTGCCCCGTGTTTTTGTCTGGAATGATATTTTCATGGCCAGATTTTTAAAACAAATGTGTACTTGAACCTGGAGATTGTCGCTGAGTGGGATTTGTGGCAAGTGGCTGCTTGCATTAGCCTGGAGATTGATGGGAGCCTGCTTCCAGAGTGCTCCTTGCTTCAGAAATCAGACATAGACCCTTGGTATTACAAATAATTGTATGAAGAATGTTTTAAGTGCACACCTATAGTGTTACATGTATTTATCACTATTGAAGAACGATGCAACAGTTCTGAGTTCAAATACTTACTCTGAAAGTAAGCACCTCTCTACTGGAAGGAGACAAAAAGCATTTTAATGGCGGTTTTTCTGTGTGATCATTTCTTCTTTCTCCAAAAGTGCTGGGTGGGATCAACTTCTCCAGTGCAAAATGACAAAGTGAAGGTCTTCCTCTGTATGGAATATGATTGCAGCAATTGCAACTGGAGTTAGTGAGATAGTGAGGAAGATATAGAAAAGAAGTCAGGTCCTAGCTTCTAATTTCAGCTTTTTACTCAATTTCAGCTTTTTACTCAATTTCAGCTTGATTCAGCTAGGCCTCTATAGCCTCTTGGTTTTGCTCTCTTTACAATATTTGTTACAGTTCATTTTGAAAATATGTTGAAATGTAATTGTAAGATATGAAAACTTGAATGTTTGAATATAAAGATACAAACCTGACTTTTCTTGTAAGTTTAATTCTGATATTTTATCAAATACTTGCATTCCTGAAGATAGTATTCTGGTCAGTGTCATACAGTGAGAAATTAAATCAGAAATAGGACATCTCTAGAAAAAAGACCTTGCATTCCAACCGAAAACAGCCACCTCTTGGTCTTTTCTTTACCTTTGTCTTTTAACAAATGAATCATTAGAAAGAATATGTAGTTAGATTTTAGTCCAATGATTTTAAAGGACTCAGATTAAATTATAGAATGGTCAGGAATGAGAGTTTTCTCCTATTCTGACATCAGTTTATTTCTCCATCTTCCCTCCTGTGCATGTACTTTTCTCTTCTTCCAAAATTGCTGCAACCTTTACAAGTTTTCTCTGAGTTGGCTCAGACTATTCCTGTTGTAGTCACTGCCACTGCAATTGGTTTCCATTAATCAGAATGTCTACATTACCGTTAGTTTGTGCAACTGGAGCAAACAAAAAATTGTAAATCACTGACTTTGCCCATTATACAACCAAACAAAAAATCAGTACTTTTCCCAGTAATGCTGTCCCTCTCACAAATGTCCTCTGTAACAGATATAATTACGTTTACAGCAAAGCCAGTGCTGTAGTGTAGACAATGATTTACACCTCAGGTGTGTCACCAGCACCAATGGATCTGGTGCAAATACCAAGTGTTTTGACTTCTATAACAATGTAATGAAATATATTGCTTTTTCTTGGAGGGAAGATTTAATTACTAACTTGATACAGTTATATATGGGCTTCTAATGTAATATCAGGGTGTTTTTTGTGTTCAGTTTGTATCACAAAGAGAATAAAGCATCCCTTCTGAGATAAGTATGTCCAAATGCAAAGGGAATAGACAAAGGTTTACGTAATTAGAGTTAATAAAACAATTATCTCTGGCTTTGCCATGAAAAGCTGGAGATGTTACAGTTGTATCTATTATAGAGAAATTAATGAGATTTGCGATTATGGATTGTTTATGGATTATGGAAATGTATATGAGGTCATGGCAATGGGAGATGAAATAATGAGGCTATTTGTGTCCCTTCTTTCACTTTTGTGGTTTGCCACAAAATTCTGTAGTATGTTTCCTGAGATATCGTTTGTCTCTCACTTCCTCCTCAGCCACACTCCACCTAAATTAGGGCCACATTTTCTCTTGGCATTTAAAGAATTGCAAAATGCACTCATGCTTTGTTATATTCACATACCTTAAGCAGCTCTGAGCATCCTTCGTGTCAGGGACCTAATCCTGAATTTGCCCAAAGCATCATTGTTGTGCAGGGCTGCCACCAGCCAGGGTGCAGACAGGAGCAGTGCTGAGGTATGCTTTGCAGGTGTAGTTTGAGATTTGCTGCAGAAAAATTGGGGTATAGCAATCCAGTTCAGTTTTGGAAAGAAAACAGAGAACTTTCATTGCTGTTTTCACATCTGGCATTTCAAACTTCCATGTGAACTTCTCAAAATTGAAACCTTGGTTTACAAACAATGAAAAGCATGCTGGTATCAATCCTTATGCTGTGACTTGAACAGGATTTGTTTTCCTTTCAATTTCTAAACAGAAACTGCTATGGGCTTCTTCCCATGCAGCAGACACTCCAATGATAAACTTTGACTACCACCAATTTGCGAAAGGTGGGAAAACTGAAAAACTGGAAAATTTACTGAGACCTCAACTGAAATTGCACTGGGAAGACTTTGGCGTCTTTGCAAAGGGCGAGAATGTAAGTCCACGGTGAGTGTCCCTGCTCCCATGCACCAGCATAGCCAGGCACCGTCCCTTCTGGCATTCCCAGGTTCATCTCTGTGTTTGGACCATGGGCATATGTGACCATCTCGAAATACAGATTTGAAACGAAGTATAGTTTTGGTACTAAATAGATCATTTGGTTTAACTACATCTCCATGGTTTAGAATTTGGAAAATTACCAGTGCATGGATTTGCAAGCACTGTGTTGCAGACAGGTAATTAGATATGTAATGGAATGCACTGTGCACAGTATGCTTGCACTGTCGAAATGTGGGTGGGTATATTCAAGCTGAACATTTGACGATCTTGTTCAATCAGCCCATGATTAGATGTTATTTTTAAAATATACTTTTCTTCCTCCCTCCTCTTGTGTTTAATTACCAAAGCCTGCAGACAGGTACTTTTCGAATGAATTGTTTGGACTGCCTGGATCGTACTAACAGCGTACAGTCCTTCATTGCACTGGAGGTAAGTTTATCAGAAGACCTTTCACAGATGTCCGTACTGCATATGTTGTCACACAGGAAAGAAAAGGGGCATAAGCCTCGCTGATACAAACTTTCTAGCTAGCTCTGTGTTATAGAATGGTGCTGGCTGTAGTAATTAAATTGAGAAGAAAAGGCAAAATATATTGAAGAAGAGTGATTTTATTTCATTTTTTTTCCTTTCTCCTCCAAACCCAGATCCTGCTTACACAATTGGAGATCCTTGGATTGAACTCTAGATCTATAGTTGAACGCTTTGTGGAATCATACAAAGCAATGTGGACTCTCAATGGTCACAATCTGAGCAAAGTGTTTACTGGTAGCCGTGCCCTTGAAGGAAAGCACAAGGTAAAGAAAAGCAGCAAAGCTGTTTACTCAGAAGTGACTGTAAAGAAAGTGATTCATATCTCATTGCCTCTTGTGCTGAAAATCTTGGTCTGATGTAGGTTGGGAAGCTCAAGGATGGAGCCCGCTCTGTCTCTCGTACCATTCAGTCAAATTTTTTTGATGCAGTAAAGCAGGAAGCCATCAAGCTGCTTCTCATGGGTGACTTCTTCAGTGAGGAATATGCAGACAAGGGCAAGATGCTCATGGATCACACTGCACTGCTGGGTAAGGCCAGCATAAACCCTTCCTTTTTCTTTTCTGTCTGGTTTTGACTGTCAGATCTAAGCAATTGCATCATTTTATAAATAAAATACTCTTGTGTTGTTTAAAACACTTTTTTTCAAGTTACTGGAGCAGAATCCTGTACATTTTAATTCCACTGTGCTTATTTCTCACTTTTTATTTATTTATTTATTTATTTTACTTCCAGTGTGTTTATCTGCTGTTTGATTATTTTCTTTGATTGTTGAGAGGAGATGGACTGAAGGGGAAGATTTTTAGATCACTTTGACCTGGGGAAGTCTCTTGAGTTCAGCATTTTTATCTCCTTATTTTAAGTCTGCAGTTTGTGTGTGCTCTTAGCCATGTGGATCTTAAAGGCACGTTTATGCTGGTTCATCCTCTGCTTTACTCCAGGGCTCTGATAGTCCATAACATATACATAGCTGTTTGCACCCATCTAGAATCAACCAGCCTAACTCTCTCTGAGAAGAAACTCATGTGCAGAATACAGGATAACTTGCTCCTACAAGCAGTATCATGTTGCCAATTTGCTCCAGAGAACTGCTGGATTTTAACATGAGCCATTCAGCTCCATTTCAGTCCTGCGGCTGTCCCCAGTGCAGACTACAAGGACAGTGTAGATACCTTTTCTATGCCTGACTGCTTCTGCATATCGAGTAGTTGAAGATTAAGGTTATTACAGCTACTCACATGAAAAAATGCACTCTTACTTGTCTATTCTCATCAAAAATAATGAAGGTAGCAGTTTCCTCTAAGGACTTCTGACTAGGCTAGACAGCTGTGACAGTGCTAGTTTTGAAGATACGATGTGCTACTTTCTATCTTTTCCTCATCTAAATTTGGTAGGGCTTGGATTTAAGTCGTAATTTGTGGCGTACTCAGTGTCCGCAGGCAAAACTGAAAAGATTAAGGGAGGAGAAAAGAATTTGTTCAGTTGTTACTTGAAGAAATTCTAGAAAATATATGCTGGAAGTGAGTGACTGACTTCTCACAGGCACAGCTGCTTTTGGAAGAGAAATTGATAGCATCAGCCTCAATAACCTTACAGTTATTGCCATTGCTACTGGAGTTATTCTTTAGCTTTTGCATTTTGCTGTGGGGGTGCTGTCATTATTTCATAACGACTTACATGTCACTGCTCTCTGGATCCTTTCTCTGTTTTTATGGCACATTTTTGTTTTACATGCTCTCTTTTCTCTCTTCTCTTCCATCAGTAACTCCAAGTATTCTGAAGGCCATGTCAGAGCGTCAGTTTGAATTCACAAGCTTCAAGCGTGTTCGTGTTGCCATGGGGACCTGGAATGTGAATGGAGGCAAGCAGTTTCGAAGCAACATCCTTGGTACCAGCGAGCTGACAGACTGGCTGCTGGATTCTCCAAAGCTCTCTGGAGTTTCTGAATTTCAGGGTAAGACTTCAGAGTCAGAAAATGCATTTTGGTATTGCAATAGGTATTGCATTTCTAGGATGTGCAAGTCAGAACACCGGTTTTGACCAGCTGTTCCTTTCAGAGTCAATGCATCTTTCAGAAGGGCATTTTCTGGAAGCCTAAAGGATGTATTCAGCCCAATTTAGACCTGTACAGCCTATTCTGCATCCCATTTTCTTTTGTTCCTCAGTTTCTCCATTCTTGGTTCTTTATTTTGGGTGGAAGCTTTGTGCTTAGGTGCCCCTGGAATGTCACCTTGTTCTTCATCTTGCCTTTCCTTAGCAGTATAGAAAATTCTTGTGTTTCTGGCTTGCTTAAGTTAGCAGCTGAATTCCATATGTATTGCACAAAGTCAGTTACTATACTTTATTTCCAGATTTTATTAAGAAAATGAAAAATGAATGTTCTGTCATTTGAAAAATGAGTGTTTCCGAAGATATGGCAAAATCTATGCTTTTGTTATTACAGTGGAACATATAACCTTCTGCTGGCATCACAGGGATATTTATGTTCCTGCCCTTCAAGCTCAGGAATTAATTCCTCAGATCTCTGGCTACTTACATAAGCTGTCCTGTTTGAACCTGTCCTGGTTTCAGAGACAGAATTCTTAGTTCTTGAGTGTATGGATTTGCAATTCAGTGCAGACGACTATATTCTGAACAGCTTGGGTGGGTGCTTGGTCTAGTCTTGTTCAGAAGCAGTTTATCTGTACTGGCATGTGGCTGTGCCCATGATATTAAAATTTGATGAGAGCCTGTTATTTGCTATCCCTGCCAGACCTTCCCCTGAGTGAACTGGAGGAGCAGCACTAATTGGTATTGGCAGTCAGAATATAGAATGTCTAAGTAGCTTCTGAAATGGAGCTGAGTTATGTTAATGTGCAGAGCTCGGGTATGACCACCAAAAGGTCTCTGTATATGGAAATGTCAATATAGTGCCTGCATGAGTAGTTATGTGTTCAAAATCATGAATGGGAAATAAGTAGTTAACGTGACAGTGCCTGTCATGTTAAGCCAAAAAAAGAAAGGGTAAGTATCTTGTTCTAGTTTAATGCTTATGCCTACTGAGAGTAAAGCTGTATTTTACTTCTCTTTATGTTCTTATTTTCTGAGACAGAAAATAAGACTTCTGACTTAGGTTCCTATGGTTTTCTACTATTTAGGTCTTCATGCTCAATTAAGTTACTGGTATCTTGGGTCTGTGAGTTTAAACAAACAAACAGAACTGAAAAGAAAAAAAAAAAACAACAAACCAAAACTAACCGTTTAAATAATGGGTAGACCTGATGGATCAACAGAAGTAGTTCATACTGTCATAAGAGAAGATTTTATCCTTGGTGTTTTACTAGAGTTGTATTCACACACTTAAATCAGGGAAGACAGAGTTGCTGTACTCCAGAGTGACCTAATCTATGAAGATAAGGACTTTGAAGTCTTCCATAAAGTAGCAGATAAATTTACTAAATACATTGAGAGGGAGGGGACAGTATATAGGGACCATGTATGGACAGTAAGTTCAGATAGACTTGGTGTAAAAAAAATAAAAATAAAAATAAAAGGAAATGGATAGGCAAGTTGGACAAAAAGTGGGTGAAAAAATGGCAGGTAGTGAAGTGCTGTGTCCTTACTATGTTTGGGGTGAGGGAGGGAGAATACTGAATACTTTTTCATCTTAACACTGCTACAGTAGAGTTCTTATAGTGATTGTTCTGAACTCTTTCTGTGAGAGAGTTGGAGACCAACTGGTGGGAGAAAGACAGGAAAAAAGCTGGGAGGAACTGCGGGGGTTGTTTTGTGAGATTAGATTAAAGAAGTAATGATTATGTATAAGCTTGGCAGGGAATGCACAGGATAGAGCTACAGGAATGATCTCTGACACAAATTAGGAAACAAGTAATTAGAAGAAACAATAAGGTAGTAATTCTTGTATGACTTTTTGCCTTTCTGACAACAGATGATGAGAACTGCCCTCCTGACATATTTGCAGTGGGATTTGAAGAGATGGTTGAATTAAGTGCTGGGAACATTGTAAATGCCAGGTAAATTGGATTCGTTTTGCTTTAAAGCCCAGTATTCCCCAAAAGAATGAGTCAAACAAAAGCCTCCAGAGTTGTGCCTCATGTCAAGAATGTAGAATAATTCCTTCCACTTCTGTTGCAAGTAATTATAGCTGGAAACATGTTTGCTGTTAACAAACAGCACTGGGGTACTGCTGAAAGTGCTCTTTATTCTTGAGCTTTGTGCATTTGAAAGCACTATTTTCTAAGTCTTTGTGTTGGCAGAAAAGGATTCCGATGGATGACATTGTTTAACACTCGTCCTTAAATCCCTGTATGGTGTTGGAAAAACATGCTCAGTGACTTTTTTTTATCCTTTTTGGTTTACAAGTTATAGCAGTGTTCAGCATGACTGCTGAGCTGATGGTGTACCCACATGATTCAGTTGACTCTGTAGATAAGGCTAGGTCTGCAAAACTGAAGCTGTATAAACCCACTTCAAGGCTTCATCTAAGAACAGTCAGTAGCTAACTCCTCTGAGGAGAGCCGGGAGAAGATCTCTTTATTGAGTATAAGAAATCTAATAAGTCAAAAGATTTGACATAGATTTTTGGTTTTATGGTTATGATTACTACAGCATAGATCATTCTTAGTATAGTTGTCAAAATGCACCTCATGTCCCAGAGTGGGATAACTGTATTTCTGCTTGTGTCTTGGCTTGCTGACCTTGCTTGCTCTGTGCTGGCTCACAATCCCTGCCATGCATCCTAGATTACTTCTAGTTCTGGAATCAGCATGTGTAGAGCCTAATAGATTGTTTATAAACCTAAGGCACAGTTAATCTGCTCGTTTTATTGATTGTGTGTGGTTTCTTTTGATTCCATTAAATGATTTTATGTTTGTTCCAGTACAACAAATAGAAAGATGTGGGGAGAACAGCTTCAAAAGGCTATTTCCAGGACTCATCGCTACATTCAGCTGACATCAGCACAGCTTGTTGGTGTTTGTCTTTTCATCTTTGTTCGACCCTATCATGTCCCCTTCATCAGGTAAAAATGAAACAAAACCCAAGTCATTATAGTCCACGTTTTCAGTGGTGTCTGCTGCTGGAGTTTGACCTGAGGGAGTGGGAGTGATTTTTAAACTTGGTGGAAATTGTGCAAACCTGAATTCCTTGTAGGAGAGACGTGTCTCCAGGCAGCAGTAGTTTGGAGTCTCTCCTCTTGAGCAGCCCAAGGTCCAGCCCAATATATCTTCTTCCAGTTCAGCAAGGAATCCAGGCATGCTCTATGTGGGCACTCATGGTCTAGCACCTTGTTTGGGAAATGAATGACCTGACTCAGAATGTCCAAGCGTATTCTGAGCATCAAGTGAAGGCAAGTGCCAGCCTAAAGGACAGGTTTTACTTTCTAGCCCTATCCTTATTAGTTCTGTGCAGAACAGAGTTCCAGACTTGAAAAGAATTGTGGAAAAGTTGGGAAGAGGTGTTAGAGGGAGAGAGAGAATTTTTCTCACTAATATCTGAATGCCCATTAAGTATTTTTCCCTCTGAGATGTCACAAGAAAGAGAAGTATGTGCCTAGTTAGGAGAGCCCAGAGCTATGTGTCTTCAGTTTACTAGCACGGATGTCCCTGGTGCCCAAACAAACCCTTCTTGCCCTTAGAAAATTCTCATTTTTATTAAAAAAGGAAAGAGTATCAAGCTGCAGGTTTAGTGCATTAAATTGTTTTTGCCCTGGGCAAGAATTGTACAAGCTAAGTGTGAATTGGTAGGAAATGAGTAGTTAGCTGAATCTATCCTTGGGCATCTTCTTGTCCTAAAGTCTAGAGCAACTGTCAAACTGCTAGGAATTGGATATGAGCCTCTGAAACTGGGAGAAAAAGGGAAGGGTTTGTTTGTAGTGACTGAGTCCATTATTTAAAATGGTCTAAACAGCTGATATATTGCTGTATGCTGGCTGTGCATAATCAAATCTAACCTATGTGCTTATGTAGCTTTCCCTATGTCCTATAAAAGGAAAACAAAAATGATTAAAGTGCAAAAAAGCTTCTGTACTTACAGAGATTGAAGAGATTAAGACAGAAGTCAGAGAACAGAGAAATAAACTGAGAGTATGGCAGAAGCTTATAGAGTAAGGAATGAAAAAATACAAGCATATACAGTGGCTTATCTCAACCTTTGCCATGAATGGAAGTCAGATAAATACCAGTCAGCAATTGGATAGACAGGAAGCAGAAAGGGAGAAGTACTTGCAGAGAAAAAACTGAACGCTTGCTTCTTTTTGAGCACTCAAAATCCAACTTTTCACAGAAAACAGTGATGGTCCTCTTTTGTCTCTCTGAGGGTGTCTTTTCTGGTGGCTTTCTGCGATCAGGAAAAGAGGCCAACAAAGAGGAAAAAGGATAGGAGGGCAGAAAAGATGGGGAAGAAATTGAAAAAGATGGATGAAAAGAAAGAGAAAAACAGGGAGAACCTGTAACGTCTTTCTTCATTCAGGTTATTGGTGCCTGGCAGGAAGCCAAATAAAACTTAGTGTTTTCCCCCTGCCCCTCACTTAAAGCCAGTAATATTCTTGTCTAGAGCTACCTGGCTTCCATCTGGAAATTTTCTCAATGGGAAGGACGTACATGGTGCTGGAGTTGATTACAACAATGATGTCATCATTTGCTTATCTGATCAGACAGGCATGGTTTATTCTTGGAATAGACCGGCAATCTGAGAAGAATTTTCCTGCAGGCAAGTCTGCTCTGCCAAGCAATTCATCTTTAGGAAAATGCATAAGTGTATGCTAGTCGCAATGTTGAAATATTATATAATCAAACATGTGTAGGACTGAAGTAATTTGTCATTAAAGCATAACTTATTTTAAGAGTTAGATCTAAACAGTTGTATCCAATGATTACTGCATCTCATTTAACAAGTTATGGGTTATGGTCTGTTCTTTTCAGTGGACTGAAAAATGTGGCACTGACTGTAAAGTTGGATTTCAGTGGATAGTAACATCAGCTGAATTGTTAGCTGTCTGAAAAACAGATTCTCATGTAGTTGAAAGTATAAAAGGGAAGGCAATGGTAATTTAGTTAATGTCTTTAGGATCATGATGGAGGTAAACCTGAAATGTGCATCCTGCTGAAGTTCCCACTGTCGCAGAAATAATCTCTTGCTATATTGCTTGCAAGGATAAGGAGAGGGAGAAAATTAATTTTAAATAGCTTTACTTCTGTAGGAGCTTATAATGCTTAATTTGAAACAAAAGCACGTGAACATCATCAAGAAGGGTCACAGTGTGAAAGATGTGCCTGATGGCAGCAGACTTTGTGTTCAGGCCTCAGTTTGTAGAGGAAAGAAAGGAGGCATGGCACTATAAACAAATTTTTCCTTTATGTTGCAAAGTTAGTTGAATGCTTGTCCCTGCAGCACTTTTTTTTTTCTTTTTCATACAGGGATGTGGCAATAGACACTGTGAAGACAGGAATGGGAGGAAAAACTGGAAATAAAGGGGCAGTGAGCATCCGTTTCCAGTTCTACAGTACTAGTTTCTGCTTTATATGCAGTCACTTAACTGCTGGGCAGACTCAGGTGAAGGAGAGGAATGAAGACTATAAAGAAATAACACAGAAACTCAGCTTCCCAATGGTAAGAATAGGGGTACATGTGCTGAAAACGTGGGAGGTAAAGACTGTGTCTTTATGTTGTCTCTCTTTGTGTTATTTATCACCCAATATAGCACTTGCTTTGCAGAAGTTCTACAGTTTTCAAAAATACAGTGGTTGCAGTGCTCAAAAAATCCTGGCCTTTGAGCAATTTTCAAGCTGATCTTTCAGGACAGTGTGACTTAACTGACAAATCTGTGAGACCTTAGGTGACTGGTGTTGCGTTCAGAGATGTAGCTCTTGCTGCACTAGCTAGCAGGGATTCCTCAAATACCATCCTTGCCACTTGGCACATCAATGCCTTGTCTGCTCCTGATGGGTACGATGTATCAGTTCTTGGTGTTTGATAAGGTATATTCTGTTCCCTTGTTGTGTCCTGTTGAATGTGTCATTGTTGACAAGTGCTGGTTTTTCTCAGACTGTGGCAAGTAGGCACTATTTATTAGTTCTTGTGAATAATTTTTCCCCTGAAGGGTGTAAAATCAATCACTGTAGTGTTTTATTTCACACGTATCTCCTCAGGCCAACAAGTAACCCATGGGGTATGGTAGTAGTGCCTTGTTGCTTCCCTTAACATTGGTTCCCTAAATTTCTACAGTGTTTCCTCAGACCTCTCGGGAGAGGTCCTAAAGCAGAGAGGGAATGGATCAGTCTGTGTATTCTGTTTAGTCAGCAGGCAATGGCATTTAGGTTGCATGGCATAAAATTTTAACTCCCTATGGTTTGCAAGGTTTAGAGGCTTGGCACATGCAGCATATTAATTAGTTGTGTTTTATAGTATTGACAGTTTGGAAATCCTGCATAAGATGTCTGTTCTATATGGCCATAAAGTTGTGCTTGTGGTAGTTTTTCTTTGTAATGTTTCATTAGCTATTTTATGTCCTCTACATTTGAAGTAATTGAATGTATCTTGTCTGTAAAATACATATAAAGAGTGCCCTCTAGTGCTATCACAGCTACAGCTGTTTTAGAGGCGTTTAGAGGATTCTGGCAGTTTATAGCTTGACTAAAATAAAATGACTGCATAGAATATAGGATATTAAGCGTAGGACTGGAGTGAATTTCTAGCGATGGTTTATTTCAGTACATTTAAAAAAACTGTGGCAGTGTGCACCTAAGGTCAAATTTGGAGCTCGTTCTTAATCAAGACCTTTTGTTGCTGTGAATGTGTTTTGGTAGTGCGGTACATCCTGTGCTTTACTTAAAATGAGTAAATGTACATATGTGAAATGTGTTAGGAAAACGAACCAATTTTCTTTTATATTCATACATTCAGCCAAATTGTGAATTTAAAACTGAGGTTCCTAGCTTAGGCATACCTTCAGAAAATGGAGAAAATCTGATACTCTTGTTTCCAAAATTCATCTCAGTGGGACACAAAAGACAGTGAAGGAAGTAGTCCTTTTTGAAATGCATTTTAAGATTTAGCATATGGGAAGTACACGATCTGGTATTTAGTAATTGAGAGACTCCATTGTGTATTTCAGTGCACTTAAAAGCTCTTTTCCTAAATGTGATTTAATGCTAACTGTATTCTCTAAATTAGGGACGGAATGTGTTCTCTCATGACTATGTCTTCTGGTGTGGTGATTTTAACTATCGCCTTGATCTAACATATGAGGAAGTCTTTTATTTTCTCAAACGTCAAGATTGGAAAACACTTATGGAATTTGATCAACTACAACAGCAAAAATCCAGTGGAAAAGTAAGGCAGTGTGTCTTATTTGTTTATGCTTTAAAGTTGTTGTTTTCTTAAATACCAGTGTATTGGCTTGGTCTAGTTCTTTGAGAGAGGGAAACATTACCTTCTCAGGCATTTATTTATAGTACATGAATGTAGTAATCTGTTTAAAAATCAGAATATTGGTAAAAGCATTGGTAAAGGTAAAGGTTGGTTGAGAACAATGGCACCTATCTCATCTATAACTCAATCAAAGAGATGGTACTTCTTTCCACAGATTTTTAAAGACTTCCATGAAGGGACTATTAATTTTGGACCAACATATAAATATGACGTTGGGTCAGAGGCTTACGATACAAGTGACAAGTGCAGAACCCCGGCTTGGACTGACCGAGTTCTTTGGTGGAGAAAGAAATTGCCTTTTGAAAAAACAGGTGTGTAGGCTTTTTTCTCTTCCCTTATTTGAAAATTTTGAATTTCATTTTGATCCAGAACCCACATAAGGAGAGGGAGTTTAGGAATTTTGGGCTGGAAGAGCTGGATGTGTCACTTATGTGTACTCAAATTGCAATGTCTTTGCTAAAGTAGATGTATTTCAGCTTCATTGGAATAACTCACAGAGACAGTCCTTAATTCTTGAGTGGGTGAACAAAGGCTTCATGCAACAGATCGAAAATGTGCTAGGAGCTAGCTGAGGAACTGACAGCAACCCACCTGTGATAATCTAGAAGTTATTCTATTGCTTTTCAGCAGAATCATTACTCCACATAAAGTTCCTATGTTGATAAAGGATACATTTGTTGTTTGTCTTGTCCTCAGTAGTTGTGTAAGCACTTTTCTGTATCTTCTTGTGCGTTAGTTTCTGCCAGTTTCTTCAGTCTGGGGAGATTTCATTAATTAGTACTTACAAAGTACTTGGAGATCAGGTGTGTGATCAGGCCAGTACAACAGATATCCATACCGAATTTTGATTTGGTTTTAAGGGAATACAATAGCAAAATGAAAAAATATTTCTTTGTGTTTCCAGTGACAATTTTTATAACTGTTCTCTCAGTCTGCAGGCATATCTGTGTTCAGGTATTCATAAAATCTGCACAACTTCACATTAAAAACATAATTACTGGAGAAATAATTTGGTTGGTGCCTGCAGATGTGATTTTTTGCATGCCAGGGAACTTCTGCTTGGAATCCAAGTCATACCATGAGTACTTCTAAGTGTGAAAACTACAAAGCAAAACCACAGCAATCATCAAATACATGTTGATGTGAGACAGATTTATTCACAATTACTTAGGGAAAGAAAAAGTAAAATGAAGAGCCTAAACCATTTATAGAGAAGTAATCTGGGAAAGGAAAACTGTAGGAGACACAGTAATGAAGTTAGAACAGTGAGCATCCGTCTTGGGCTGACTGTTCTTCATTTCAGAAGAAAGAAAACCCTTCAGCATTTTCAAAGCATGTTCTTTAATTTGTCTGTAAGCCTAATCCCTGGGAGGATTTGAGCCAATGGATCCCATGTTCTATGTGCAATCCATCTAGCATGTCTGCAAGAGCCCACGCCATGTAGGAGTGGTTCCCTGCAGGTTCCTTGCTTTAGAGCTTGTAGATAGACCCCTGCACATAGGCTAGCTCATGTGGGTATTCTGCTATCTGTTCATGCAACTTCCCAGCCCTGCAATGCTTTTCTAATCAGTCTGTCACCATAGCTCCCATAGATCCTTTCCTTTTCTACTGGTGGCAAAGCTACTCTTCTGCCTCTCAGCTCAATACTGTTTCCTTTTTTTTTTCTCTTTTTTTTTTTTTTTTCAATTCCAGCTCTGCAGGCAAGAAATAGTTATCTATTAGCCCAAAAAGTGACCAAAAAACTTTACTGTTACCGACAATGATGTAAAACCCCACTCCATCATTGAGTCCAGAGCGCTTTCTGTTGCTTTAATGCATTATAACAGAAGTATTTGAAGGTTGCTCTGTCCTTTCTCTTTGCTCTGCGTTGTGTGTACTGTTCAGGTATGCAGTGTATTTCACAAATACTGTATCTTTCCATGCTCAGAAGGGGAGTAGGGAGAAAAATACTAATGTGACCCTTGATCAACACAGATTGTGCAGGTGATTGATTGAGTGACATTCAAGTTGCCATTTTGCTGGTAACAACATAACTGCTAGAGTCTGTGAAGCACATCCTAATGAACTATTTCTTCACTTAGTAAAAACAGCTGTAAGTGGGTTTCAAATGATATTTTGTGCTGCACAGCTGGAGAGATTAATCTTCTAGACAGTGACCTGAGTGCAGAAACTAAAGTCAGACACACCTGGACCCCTGGAGCCTTGATGTACTACGGGAGAGCTGAGCTACAGGCATCTGACCACAGGTAAAGTCCTAAGCAAATAATCAGAAGTTCTAGAAGGCTAGAATGTGTTATACTGAATGGTACCTTCGGAGCATAGAATTGAGTCTGATTGTAGCAGACACCACACACTTAATTTCTGTTCCCTAGTCTGGAGGGTTTTTTGTTGTTCTTTGTTTGGTTTTGTTTGGTGGTTTGTTATATTTCTTTTTTCCTCGTGGTGGGATGTTTACCATGGTGGAAAGTATCACTGGTCCTTTGTGGAACAGTGTGGCCTGGAGAGGTCACACTGTGTCTATAAGGCCACGTGTGACCTCTTCAAAGAAAAAGTGTTAAACTTTTGGGCTGCCCATATAAATGGAGATTGGAGATGGATGAAAACAAAGAGCAGTGCCTCTGGCTGTCCCTGTTCATTGCAAGGCAGCTGGACTGGATGACCTTCAAAGATCCCTTCCAACTCTAAGGATTCTATGATTCTGTGATTCTATATCATTAGCTTCTCTTTGAGGATATAAATGACCTTTCTTCCTTGAACTTGTCACTACTTCACTTCTCTGAAATAAATTCTGTAATAAATACACCTTGGAAATGCTCCTGTACTCATAATATCTTCGTCACACTCATTCAGGCCTTCTGGAAGCAGTACAATATTGATACTCCTTGCAGTGCTCAGTGATCCACGGCAGCTGTCTCTGTGCTTCTTATGGTGTTCTCACATGTGAGGATTGTACTGTATCCCTCCAGCAATGAGAGAACACACCTCATGCAGTCAACTTCTCTGTGTCAGGGCTTTGACATTGCCGTGTTCCACAAAGCGGTGGAACTGCTGCACTCATTTTATAGGACCCTGAGGATGCAATCTGTGAAACATGGCTCTTGTACATTGGTTTTCTATTTCAGTGGGCTCAACTGTAAAAAATTACAGTCAGCAGCTTTGCTTTCCCAAGGTTTGTGCTAGAAAAAAGGCTTGGCTGTATCATTGTGACATATGGTAATGCATAACGATTCACAGTGCTAATAGAAATAGCTAACATTTCCTCTGCATTATTTTCCTCTCTTTTTCTTTTTTAGCTTGGCTCTCCTATTCATACATTCTTGTAATGCATATTCTCTTGCAAGTAGGAAATAGCAATTCTGAAAGTTAGAAGCAGCCTTTCCAGTTACTACTCTGTGTGTATGTGCGGGTGGAATTCTGAGAATGTAGATGGCATTCATGGAGATGAGACATGCTTTACTCTTTCAGACATGTTTCCCAGTTGTATTTAGATCTAACGCACAAAGAGGTAATAAGCAAGAAACTGCTGAAGAAGCAAGTTTGTTGTGTTGACTAATTGTATTGCTATGTAGCAAACACCTGTCAGTATGTCAAAATGCAAAAGATGTTAAGGCTTTTGTAAGCATCCAAAGGAGGGCAACAAAGCTGGTGATGGGCAGAAAGGCACGTGCTGTGAGGATAGATTGAGAACAAAGACCTGGGCTGTCCAGTCTGGAGAAGAAGCAGCCAAGAAGTGAACTCTTGCCCTCTGCAACTCCCTGAGTAGGCAGAGTGCAGAGAGAAGTTCTGAGCTCTGTTCCCTGGTCATGATGCAATGGCACAATGCTACACCATGGGAGGCTCAGGCTGGATATTAGGAAATGTTCTTTTACCATGAGGATGGTGAAACATTGGAATGGGCTTCCTAGGGAGGTGCTCTTCCTGTCAGTGCTCAAAGCAATGCTCAAATAATATGCTTTAACTTTTGGTTAGCTCTGAAGTGGTCAGGCACTAAGACTAAATGTTCGCTGAAGGTCCCTTCAAACTGAGCTATTTTGTTCTGTTTGTTGCTATATTGAACCCTTAGAGTACTTAGTCCTTAATTTTTGGAAGACAGGCATCTTTGTGTGGCCATGCTTAGCAGAATAGATTGCCTTCCTGTTCTGTGAGGGCTCTGGGAGATAGCTAGTTAAAAAGGAGCAAAATATCCTGGTAATCTTTGACTAGAGGTTTGCTAGAACTGCTGCATGCAATTGTTATTTGAATTTGTCTGTGGTGTGTCCTCACTGTTACACTCAGCTAATGAAGAACTGGTAAATACAATTAACAGTGCTCAAAGCGTGATTTTTCTCTATAGGAGAAATGAAACAATCCACTGGACTCCAAATTTCTAGCACCACAGTGCTATCTTCCAGTGAGACTTCAATTTGTTCTGCTTCTCCTTCTGTGTAGAGCATACGCAGTAAGCCTGGTATGCCTAAAAAGAAAGTGATTAACTAAATATTGGTAATGAACTTTGACACTGCAGACTTAAAAATGTATAGAAGATGTATAGAATTGTTTTTAACTTTATGTAAGTGGCAATTGGGCATTGTTGATTTTAATTTTAAATAGGCATTTCTCCTTTATTTCTTGTAGGCCTGTGTTAGCTATTGTAGAAGTGGAAGTCCAGGAAGTCAATGAAGGAGCTCGTGAGAGTGTTTTCCGGGAAGTGTCATCTTTCCAGGGACCACTGGATGCCACAGTAGTGGTAAATCTGCTATCACCAGTGCCAGAAGAGAAAAATGATTTTCCTGAGGACCTGCGTACAGAGCTTATGCAGATGTTTGAGGATTATGGCACTGTTGTTCTGGTCAGGTAAATTTGGGATCTCAGGTGGTGTATCATCTGTTAAAAAACACAGACTAGCAATTCCCTTTTTATCCAGACAGAATTCATTTTTTACTGGAAAGCAGTACATGAAATTCCACTATGTTTAATTCTTCATTAGAAATGAAATATATATATTTTGGATATCTTTTCCTTCTTGTCAGCCTGCTAAAGAAATAATCTAGGCTTCGTTTAGGTGCACTGCTTCTGCTGGCTGCTCCTCTGGCCACGCTTCACTTCCCCTGAGGAGTTGTGCTATCTTCCAGCACTTTTTCACACTTACTAGACAGCTTGATGATGTACAAATCTTTGGGACATCATGTATCCTCTGAGGTTGAGGAGGAGTATGCCAAGGAAAGTTGTAAGGGAGTGTAGTTATTGGACTGGATATCCTGCCAACAGCTGCCAAGATGTTACGCTTCTTCAGGGATGATCCAGTAACAGGTGTGTCACTGGGGTCACACAGAGGAGGAGAGGAGAAGGGGAGGAGATCATCAGGGATTCATAGATCGCTTGCTTCTCCCCAAAATGTAGTTATGAGTAAAATCAAGCTGGAACCAAATAAATGGCTCTACAGAATGACCATGGTTGCATTTAAGATTTTTTACTCACTGGTGAAGTGTACTGTTTTCTCTCCTCTGTCTTTTTTCACTAGGATCAGTGGAGGCCAAATGCTGGTAACATTTGCAGACAGCAAGTCAGCACTTCGTGTTATGGATATAGATGGTATCAAAGTAAGACCATCTCATACTTCCTATAATGATCTCGTACCAGGTTTCTCAAAAGTGGTTGCTTAGAATGAGATACTTAATTTAGTTAGAAATTTAACTAACCTTATTCAAAGAACCTTCATGCTCACAAAGTCCTTGGCTTTCACAGCTGCTGAATTTCTTAATGTTAATGCAGTTTTTCAGTTTCATAAGGGCAGAAAGTAATTTTTCTTGGAGTTCCTAAGCAGTGCTTTGTGATACCACTGCAGAATACATGGTCTTGGCCATTGCTTTGGCACTTGAAGCTCTAGAGGCTGACTCTTTACACTGTTGCCAAAGCATGCTCAAGGTTGTTGTTTAGAGATTTTTGTTTCCCTTAAGTGTACCCTCTAAACTCCTTCTCCCAAGCTAGAACAACATGATTCATTGCCCTCTGTTGCAAGTGCAGCGTTAGCTGTAAGTAATTTATATTCTAATCTCTTGTTCTTCCTTCCCACACATATACGCTACAATTTATCAACCCCATCCTTTATGCTGACTGTGTGGGGCTGCATTGTAAACTCAACACTGAAGCAGTGGATTTAACTGTTGTTGTTCTTTCATATTTGGAGTTTTATCTTTTAATTTGGCTCATTTCATTGATCTAACTATAGCACAGAATCGAACACTGTTGTGTGTGCACAACGTGTGAAGAGGTTAGGAAGCAGAGTCAGGAACTTTCCAAGCTAATAGTGCTGCCAAAGACACTATTTTGGATATCTGTTACCCTAAATGTCATGGAATAACACATACAATCAGCTGCTGTCTTAATCTTTATATCAACTATCAGTCAGTACATTGACTCTCATATCTGAGATTTTCTGAGCAGAGCCTCCTTACAGATGGCAGCAGATAACGAGGTTCTGTGTATTTTAAAGCTACTGACTTGAAAAAAGGAACCCTCCCACTCCATTATGAATATCACAGTATCATTTTGATACATAGCTGATACTTTGCTTCTTTCTCAAGTAACCCCCAAATACAGCAGCATCTCCTAATGAGCTTTGAAGCTTATTTTCTTCCAAGAATATTATTACAGTCTGAAAAGTTGTTATGAGGGTATGAAGTGTGCTTCCTTTTCGTTTATTATCTAAGATGAAGTGTTAGTTATATTGCTTACAAGCAAGCAGCAACACTTAACTTGCTCAGGCATTTTTGTAATGTGGCCTGCTTGACAAAGGGGAAATAATTTTTTGTGTAAGGTCAGAGGCAGAACAGTGAAGATCCGTCCCAAAACTAAGGACTGGCTGAAGGGACTTCAGGAGGAAATTGCTCGGAAACGGGACAGTGTTGTCCCCATGTCCCCCACTGCAAATTCCTGTCTTTTGGAAGAAAATTTTGACTTCTCAAGTTTGGACTATGACTCAGAAGGTGAGTAGCAGGTTTCTAAGCTAAGTTGTGAGAAGTTGTTTTCCAGGCTTTGATTGCACAGAGTATGAGTGTTGCTGGTATTTTAATTTGCAGTGAAGCCACACCACTTAAGAAGAGGATTGTAAATAAAACTGTGACCCAGCACTGTGCCTGGGCAGAGAACTATTGCTAAGATTGGCCTATCAGTGTAGTGTTTACAGAATATGTTAGCAAATCCAATGTGTGATACAGTTGTCTGGATAGAAACAAACTGTAATGAACCATGGATTACAAAAGAAGCCTGCCCATTGTGTATGTTCAATTCATTTATGCACTTTTTCATGAAGTCTGTGTTATTTAATATTTTAATTCAGGTGATATAGTGGAGGATGAAGATGAGTATTTAGATGATGCTTTGTGTCAACACCTGGAAGCAGACACGGCAGAATATTTGCCTGATGGTTCTGGACACCTTTCACCCACAGCTCTTTCAACCAAGTCTGGGCAAAACTCACGTCTGTATAAAGGTAAATTATGTATGTTCCTTAAATAAGACCTGAACACTTGTTGCTTATTCTCCTTTTGTCTGTATTTCCCTATGCATTTATATTTGATTGTAGGTCTTTTGAAGATGATGATTATCTTTTTGATACATGTTCATGTAGTGCTCAACAACTATTGAGTTTGTGATTGTAACCGAGGCAACACAGCCATACAAATAATAAAGCTTAGATCTTACTTCCTTGTAGCCCAGGGCAAGGTGGTAGTACTGAGAAATGCCAGTTTCCTTTTAGAGTCTTAATAAATTATTTCTTTTTATTCATTTGATACTGTACAGCTCCAGGGCATAAAATACAAAATCATCTGTACTTTATTTCCTTATTAGTAAGGGCCAGAGCAAAGTCAAATCCAAGGATTGCTGTTGATTTCGTGATGAGCTGTGTTGTGTCTGTTGAGCAATAGCTGTGGCAGCACAGACTGGAGCAAGCTGGGCTGTTCAGGAAGTTGTGTTCAAACAAGCGACTTCAAAAGAAAGTTAAGATTTCTCCTTTGCTTCTATTTTATTAATTTCTGAAGAAGCTGAGGTTCATACTACAGGTATGTTTTTCTGGTCTGTTTTTCTGGTCACCTGGCTTGTTTATGCATTATTAAGAAATTATTCTGTAAAGTAAAGCTGTTGCTATGAAGAGAATACATCTACAAACTGCAGCAAGAACTAGCCACGCTGGCAGCCTTATTACATTGGCATGTGATCAGGACAGGCCTCAGTGGCCAACCTGAGACAGGCTGGTTTGCATCTTAAACACTTCATTGCCGTCAGTAGGTGATTGAGAAATTCTTTCTGCACTCTCACAGAAGAGAATCTTCTGACAGAAAACTCTAATACCTTTAAAGATATTAGACCTGAGTCAGAAACAGAGTTCATAAAGATTAAATGAAATTCTTTAGTTTACACAGGCAGACATTCCAAACAATCACAGTGATATACAGCTTTCTGACCCACCTTAAGCTGTATGCTGTGTGCAGTGTATAGACAGACCCAGAAACTTAGCCCTGAGCCAATGAGTAATCTGTCATTATTAAATACAGTGAAAACGATCACTTTGTACTATGAGATGGCTTGCCCTCCAAACACCTCTGGCCTACTATGTGATGATTCATTACACTACAGAGAATTGCAGGCATTCTTTTCACCTGTGCTAGCTCTTCTTCACACACAAAAAATATATCAAGAAGTATATAAGAGTACAAAGTATAGTTTGAAGGAATTTGAGGGGCTGTCATGATCTTGCAAAGTCAAAATATGATGTATTCAGTCCATCCTGAAAGTCTCTGTGATTCCAGATGCCTCCCTAAGCTTCCACTTCTGCCTGAGTGCCTCTTATCAAAGGTATGATGGCTGTAGGGCTGGTGCTGGATGCAGACAGAAATCAATGATAGGAGCACATTAGTGTGCATGAGTGTTTCTGAGGTGAGACGTTCCTGAGAGCCATTGCCAAAACCCAGCAGTCTTTTAAGCAGGAGGGATAGAGTGGTAGTGGGTGATTTTTGTCTTGTGCTCAGCATTACTGCCAGAATTTCCAGCTGTGCCTTTAGGCATCTGCATGGCACTTTGGATCGTACTGATGAGGCCATTTCTGTTGCTTAGAGAAAATGTAGAAGGAAAGGGGGGGCAGGCTGGGCAGATCACAGGCTGTGTCTCTGTGGCTGCCATCTGGTGCTGAGTGGGAGCAGGAAAGTGTGAGGCAGCTCAGCATTCCCTGGATAGTAAAACTTTCTGAAAAACAGGAACTCATTAAGAATGCCTAAAGCAGGATAGACTGCTGCTTGTCAGCTCCTTCCCCCTCCTCTCCAAACCACAGGGACAAAACTAAACCAAGTGGGTTCTGGAGCCCTAGAAGCCATTGCTGCAAGGCTGGGTAGGGGAAGGAGGTGAGGCAATTGAGGTGGAAGCCCCCAGTGCAGTCAGCTGGGAGCGGGAAGCCATCTCTACTTCTCTCCATCTGTCAGAGAGGCTAAGGTGAAGTGAAAGTGCAATAGCACAGTCATTTCAGGTGCGTCTGAGGGCTATCACATTGAGGCAGGTGTATCTGTAATTAAACATTGCTGGAAAGCAGAGAGATGTGATGAGGGAGTGATTCAGATAGATCTTTCTCTGTCACAAAAACAGTTCTGAGCAAGGAAGGTTGCTTAATCTTCAGAGATAATTGCGGCCTTCATGAGGGAAGAATAAGGAACTGATCGTGACTCACTTTCCCATGGCTGCTGTGCCTGAGTTTGAATTATACCAGGTCACTGAAGTCTACCTTGTGAAAAGCTCTCAATGTAATGAGGTGAGCAGTAACCCAGAAATCAGATGCAGGCAGTCTGTGCATCAGCAGGAACAGTTTACAAATGCTGGAAAAAGAGAGGGGGAAACATTTGACATAAGGTTGGGTAGATGTTTCTCAGGTGGGAGCAGGGAGCTATTCCAGGAGAGCAAACAGGATGAAAGAAGCCATGTGCTGTTGCTGAGATATCTGGTTTAGGATTGCCATTCGTCATTGCCTCTCTACGGATGGCCCAGATTTGTTGCATGCTCTCCAGCAAGTGTCTGACATGGATCATTTCTAAAATTTCCCTAGATGATGCAGACCTGGTTGATTTGAAGCTGGACCTGGAGGCAAGCGGGGAGCATCACCGCCCGTCTCCAAGCAGGTCTCTGTCTGTTCCTAATAGGCCTCGGCCACTCCAGCCCCCCCAAAGGCCTCCTCCTCCTGGTGAGTTTAACTTTCTTTTACGTAGCGTTGGCCTCAGCTGAACAGTTTTGCCTGTCATTTCTGGGTGATGAAGAAACTGACATTGTTTTGAAACGTCAAGCTGCTGCTCTGTTTGCTTCCCAGTCTGTTTTAGTCTGCCTACGGCCACAGCTAGCAATGGGGGAAGTCTGTATTTAGGGTGACAGGTATTCCTTAAAGAAAGGCTCCATGCTTTAGTGAGTACAGTATGACAACACTAACTCATCACTCAGTTCAATGAATTGACCTGCCACTTAGTCACAATAAATACCATTATTTATGCCCGCTGGCTTAGAAAGTTGCTGAGTGTTTTCTTATACTTTCCTTGTGTCTGACTTAACTGTAATCTTCTTTTTAAAAGCTTTGACAAAATGCTTTTTCTGTACTATTTGGCCTTTTCTTTACTTTGCAAGTAGCTCTTGCTCATTTTTGTGTTCAGTGAAGCACAAAGGTGCTGTTTACCTGAGTTCTCCTCACCCAAGTAGTCATCGTTACTGCATTGCTCATGTTCTTATAGCTGCTTTTGGAAGAATGCCGATTGCTAAATCCAGATAATTATCTGGGTCTTCTGTGGCACACAAGCTATACACTGTATTGGTTTTTGCAGCCCTATTTTCATATATTTTTCAGTCTTAATTCAAAGGTTCTGTCAGACTTGTTATGGAAGATGAGTTCTTCAGCATTATTCCTATTCATTTCTGAGTCTGTTGTATAGAAATGACAATGCTGGCATTAGTACTTCTATGCCTGGAAGGCAGCGTTAACACTCAGCTAACTAAATTGTTAGTTAGACTAAGTAGGAAATTGTTAGACAAACTAGAAAAATGTTTCCTGAAAAGCTTGTGATTTCATTTGTGTTCAGATTTTTCCAACCTAGACTTAAAGCAGTAACAGCTTCAGCCCATTTATTCCTCCTAGGTCAAAGAGTGCTGCTCTTGGCACCCAGGGAGAAGGACTCTGATGTCCCTCAGGAAGGTCTTACCTAATGTGCCTGTCACCTGGAGGAGCAGGGACAGTGACAGTGTCTCTTTCATTTCTCACAAACGTGTTTCAAAGAGAGTAATCTGTCACTGCAGATTACTGAGAGCAACAAGCCATTTTTATTCCTCTTTCAGCTGGAACATCAGGCAAAAAGTCCTCCTCAGATGGTTCCCTCTCTTCAGGAAGCCACTCCACCTGCTCCATCCTGGCCACAGCGAAGCTGCTGCCTGGAGCCCCTCAGCAGCCGGTGAGTCCTGCCTCTCAGTGCAGCCATGTGGCATCATCCTCATCTCCCCCATCCATGCAGACATTGAGCATCAAGTACGTAACACTCTTGTCATACAATGAAGGAAGTCCATTGCCTGCCCGAGCTGGAAATGCTAAGATGAGTGTGTGTACTATAATACTAGACCATAGGACCAACTGGACCCAAGAAAAACAGTATTAAATTGTTGAGAAGGAGAGGCTGAGGAACAAGAAGGAAGAATGGTGCACATACAGAGCACTGTTAGTTTATTTTCTGTGATATTCTTTGACAAATGCTAACTTGAATTTTGAGCACCACGATAATGTGCTCTAATTCTCTTCTTATCTCATTTTGATGGGATGCCCCAGAGCCTGGCATGCAGGAAAAGTTTTTGCTGGTGCCAGCAAGGCTGTCACCCTATGGACAGGGAAATCAATACCCAAATGTGGAAACACCTCCCCACTCCTGTCTTATCAGATGGAAACCATAATGCATGAACAAGGGATGGCTAAGGAACTAGCTGTGGCAGTTAGCTATCTGCCTTTCCCCTCAGCTGATAACAAAGGCCCAATGATTGCCAAAAGACTCTCCACCATTTCTATAAATTTATAGATTTCTGAACAGCCACTGGCAAAACCAGAGCTTTACAGGTGTGTGAACTTAGCCATAAGATTACAAGCACACAAGAAAAAATGATTCTCTCAGCATTACTCATTTTTTGTATTTTTTATCGAAGCCTAAAGTTCGTACTGGAATAAGTAAACCTTACAATGTCAAGCAAATCAAAACCACCACTGCTGAGGAAGCAGAAGAAGCTATCAGATGTCTTATGGAAGCTAAAGGAGGTAAGCCCAGCTTTTTAATGTACTTTCCAAAAATCTTTAAATACAGAGTTCTGCAGGTATAATTATCCTTCTGCTGTCATAGCCCAGATGCATTTATTTCTATTCAGAGGCTCTGCTGAACGTGGACATGCGCAGTCTTGTAAGACTTTTCTTAGTGTTATCTGTCAGTTTTGATAATGCTGGCCTTGTTTTTCCAAGGTAACTCAAGTTGTATATTTCATTGCAGAACCTGTTGCTATGAGCATTTGGATTATTATGTCCAGATTTAGTCTGAAAAATTAAAAGAAAGCTGGAATCAACTGCTTGTTGATTACCTCAGAGTTACATTTGCTGCTCCAGATAACGATGTTCACTATTCCAAACAGAGCTAGCAAACCAATACAGCAGTGGGAGAAATAACCTAGCTTTTATTCACATTTGGATAACAAGTATAGTTGCTGCCTGCATAGAAGTCTATGCTACCTTTACCTGGAATATCTGTGTTGAAAAGCTGCTCTGTATAGGCTCTCTGTCAAAGCCATGGAGATGAGAGGTTTTCACAAGGGCAGATAGGAGCAGGAAATTTAGGCCATGTGAATATGCTCTCTGTAGTTTCAAGGAGCCTTTTTTTGCCGATGCTGTATAAAGAAGAAAGAATGCATTATGATTGGAGAGCACTGAGTCTGCAAGGTGCTCAGCTTAGGAAAACAACCCCTTTTGTTTGTAAACACAGTGCAGTCTGGAATAATCCATTTTAATTAGAAATATCATAAAGGCATTTTGATGGTTGTTCTTCCGGTACTGCTGTACAATTATCTTTGAAATCAGGTTTACTCCCCATTAATTTCGAAATTCCATTTCATCAGCTTGGGTAAGGAAACCAGCCTGGTCAGCATTGCTTTCAATAGCTTGTGCTCTACCCTAGTTAGCGTTTACAATTCTTTGCTTACAGGAAGCACTCAGTGTTGTCACCTTGTTTATCCAGATCATGGAACTGGAGCAAAGGGAGGCTCAGAACATGAGCCCAGTATTTATGCACCCCAGCGGTGTTTAACCCACTGGGCTCAATGGTGACGCAGCGCTGCGTGTTGGCATGAAGTATTTCATACAGGGAAGGTTTTCCTCAACTGCTGTTTACAAAATGCCATTTACAAATTCTAGACACAGGTTCACAGAGGTCTGCACTATATATGCCCTTTACACATGCGCATTTTGGAAAACATGACTGTAAAAGGAGGTATTTTGCTGCAAAGACATTAATTGGTTTTGATTTCAGGATTACAGGAAGATGCACTGAAGCCTGCTCCAACTCGAAACCAAACGTTCACCAAACCCGAGCCTGTTCCCAGCATCACAAAGTCCCTGTCCTTTCAGGGCCCACAGGCAGGACCAGCACTTGTGCCCCATCGGCCTCCACCCAAAGTTCCAACTACGAAGAAGCCAGTACCTCTGCAAAGGGCCGGAACCAAGATGGAAAATGTGAGCTGGAGCCTTAAATGGTGTGAAGGATGGAAAAAGTGTGTGTGTGGGGAAGCTGTTAGGGCTTCAAAACATCTCCTTAACATTTAAATACTGCCCAGTTCTTAGTCAACAGGCTCTGAAATGGTATTGTGTGCTGTGGTCATAAAAACATTTGAGGCAGTCAAGAAAGGAAAGGAACCTGAGGTTTTTACTCAGCTTTTCTCTTTGTGAGTCTGTTTTCCTAGATGTAGTTACTCCTGGTTGTCTGAGCATTGTCAAGGTATATGGCACTGACTGTGAAACCAGTATTCTGCTTCCTCTCCTCATTGCATCAGCTTTGTTTTAAGGAGGAGACCATGAAAAACCACTGACTGTCTCATGTGGAAGTCACCCTCTACTTTGCTTTTTTCTTCCTGTGTTTTTACTCTATTGATTATGAAGCATCAGAACCATCTTTGCATCACCTGTAGCTACATTTTTGCTTGTTTGTTTGTTTTGTTTGATTGTTTTTAGTAAAATCAGGAAGAAAGACTTCCGGGTACAGAATTGCACAGAAATTTCTGACTTTCAGTACTGGCACTCTTTGGCTTTTTATTAAACTAAAGGGCAAAGCCCAGCTGCTTTACTATAAGGCAGAGGTACACATCTTCAGGATAAAATTCTGCTTTGAATCTCAAATAGAGAAAGGCAGCTGATGTGCAGGTTTTAAGACTCATCTCTTCCTTATCACAGTGCTTACTTTTAACCACAGCCAGAGCGTTCTGCTCTGTACTGTGTCAGCTTCTTTCTCCATATGCTGTTTAGTGTCCTATTCATCCAACTTTTTTTTCACTTGCCTGGTAATGGGATTCAATGTTTCACTTTGGATTCTGGATTCTACTCAACAGATCAGGGTCTTAAAAATACAAACCTGTAGGTGTGGGTTCTTAGTCTGTCTCTCTGTCAGGTCTCTACACTGACACAGTCGACAATTTCTTTCCTCTTAGAACTGCTGAAATGCAGCAGTTGAAGTTCAAGACAAAAATATGTAACCTTTTAGATTCTTCCTTAGACAGAGCTTCAGCAAGCTCTGTGCTAAGTTAGGACTCTTGCAGAGGTGTTCACCCCTGTCTAATGGGGTTTGGGCCATCTCCCATCTATCAGAATCACGTAAGAATTAAAAACAGGCAGCACCCTGTGTGCCCTTTTCTTCATTGCTTAATAAGCAAGACTAGTCTATTTATTTTATGTTTATCCTTCCTCCATGCATAGGGCATTCCTACAAAGTGCTGAGAGGCACTGCTATCTTGGTGTTAGTTGTACGAAAGCTTTTGCAGGTATTTCTTTATTTCAGTTTGACTCTCATGTCAGACTTCCACCTCTTCCCCCAAGTGAGTTCAGAGCAGAGTGCTGTACTTGAAAATCTCTATTCAATCCACTTCTATTATTAAAAAGGTACAAGAGATAACTCAATACCAGCCTACAGACAGCAATGGCAGAGGATATGTCCATCAAATATTTGGACTGCATTAAAGAAACCTGTATATTATCTTTTAATATTATGGGACAGTAGTAAAGCATTTAAATGTTTTCATTCGGCTACATTCAGTACATACAGTGAGCATGAGAGATCTGAAGCAACCACAGCCTCTTGGACTATTTCTTACATTTCTATATTTTTAAATAGCAAAAACATACAAACTAAATTGCATTTTGAGAATTTGCTTTTAGCTTCAGTTCCTAGCATCAGTGAGACATGCCAATGCCATTAATACCTTTCTTAAGTTAGTTTAAGCCAATTGTCCTTCAAGCTTATGTACTAGAACATAGCCAAAGGCGTGAGCTAATGGCCCCATTAATTCAGCCCTCACACATTCTTGCTTAAATAATGCTAGGCAGCAGCGAGATGTAACAAATAAATAACTCTTCAGAACTGTGTTAATTCAGCCTGGAGCTAAATCCTAACATGAAAAAGAGATGCTTAGAAAGAGAAGTATTTTTCATGCAGAGAGTGAACAGGGCTGGAGGATCCTTGTTCTCAAATAGCATGCTTGGACACTGGTCCAAGGCATAATGCTTGAGGAAGAATCAAACAGGCAGTTTCAAATGGTGCTGTCAAGCCTTCTCTCTGTACTGCTTGATTTCTTCAGTACTGTCAGCTTTTCTCAGCAATGCCATCAGTAAAACTTGCACAAGAAGTGACTCAGAGTTTAAGGTACTGTATTTGTTCTCAAATTTATCACTCCTTTTATCCCCCTCAGGCCGTATCTAGAGAAGAGCGATTTGACCATCAGACAATACAGAATCCATTTGGCTTGCCAGAGCCCTGTCTAGAAGATGCAGCTATTCTCAGTCCGACCAAGATTACTCCAGTCCCTAAGCCCAGAACATCACAACCTGGGAAGCCTCAGGAGAGCAGGGGGAGCAGTGACAAGCAGCCCAACTCCCCAAGCACAGCTGAGGCCAATGCAGTGCCTCCCCAGAACACTTCCTTCATCCCAAAGGTGCCACCACGAAGAAAAAAGTCAGCTCCTGCAGCTCTTCATCTGCAAGTTCTCCAGAGCAGTGACAACTCACTTCTTCGAGAGTTAATGTTCAACTCCAACAACAACAATCCTGGCTGCTCCCAGCGTCAGGACTCTGATGTCCTTCAGGTTGCCTCCACGTGCTCTGCCCTTTCAGTTCCTACGCTCTCTGCCAGCCAAGAAAATAACACAGTCCCACAGCTGGCACCTAATACAGAATTGATTACTGTAGCAGAAGGCCAGCCTCCACTGCTCTTGGATAGCAGCTCCCTTGCAAAGAACACTAATCTCTTGGACCTGGACACAGATTCTTCTTGCCATCTTTCCAGCCAGGTGCCGTCAGCAGTTTCTGCAGCACACAGTCCAGAAAACTTGAAACTCCCCAGTCACTGGGTGACATTCAGTGATGATGAAGACAATGGTGCGCTGTCAGAAGGGTTCAACAAACTGCTTATCCTAGAACAAAACAAAAACAGCTTGGAGAATACAAATAATAATTTAGAATTGTAAAACTCATCCCCTTGATGTTTCCGTAGAAGTAATAGTAACGATGCAAAATTTTGCATAAAGGTTTTTATTTAAGGAGATACATCATCTGTCCATGCTACATTTCATTTTCATGTTGTTTAAAGACAAAGAAACTGCCCCTGGAGGGAAGTGTACAGAGTATATACAACCTAATGTTATCCAGTTTGTTTGAGAAGTTCTTTATTCTAAGTTATTTCTTTTTATTAATCCACCTGAAGATATTTTATTTCAGTTAGAAATCATATGCAAGAACATGTATGGAAAAAAAAAGTTAATAAAAACATTTTCATTTGACATGTATATATTAACCCATTTCTGTCACCTAAAATAAAGTAGCCTTACCTTGAATAGACTGCTATAGTTATTCTGGAACAGATATCCCCAGAGGGAACACATATCAGTGTAACTACAGCAGTAATGCTGGTATTATTCTGCCAGTAAGTTTCCACCATGGAAGCAAGGCTTAGGCATTATCTGCATACAGATAGCTGCAGTCCTGGCAGACCATAATGCTTTTCTTGTTAAATTCATTCCTGCATAGAAAGTAAAATACAAGGTGTGGTTTCTGAGGCTGGGAAGCAAAACTATGAGCAATGTTGCCTAAACAGCAGCGAGAAGTACCTGGTTTTGCTCCAGCTCAGGCCAATGACTGCTTCCCTCCCCCCATATCAGAACAGGTCTCTTTTAAGTGCAGTTCTTTCAATGGCTTAAGAACACGCCTCAGCTATTCTGAAATTATCTGGTAGCCTCGCAAAATATTGCTCTGCCTGTAGGGAGACTAATGGCACCTTTTGTTAGTTTTCTCCTACCTTTCCAAAACCCCATCCTGGTCTTTATTCTCAGCAAGCCTACTCTAAACAACACACATACTTTCCACTAAAACAGCACATGGACAAGGACGGTTCTTTTGGAACAAGCTGGTCTTGGAGCCTAACAACTTCATTCCAGTGCAACTCATGCTGTCAGACCCTGAAGCTAAGCCACAAGACACGCAGCTGGGCATAGCAGAATCATCCTGTAGAGATTCAGGCTCTCTCACAGCCCAGCAGGAGCTCCCTGGTGAGCTTCTAGGGGTAGGATGCAGGCAACTGCATCAAAAGCGAAAGAACTCTAAGAAGCATGCATAAGCCTGCTGTTTAGCTGCACTGTGCATCTATACAGGGAGTGCCCCTAGGAGGCACTCTCAGCACACAGTGTAAGGCTGTACACAGTAATCTGTTCAGTGTAGGTTCTTGGATGCAAAAGGTTTAAAAGAAAAGAAAATCATGTTCTGTGGTTCAGAACATGATAACCTAGCAAGGGAAGCATCATGGCAGAAACTCCAGGCAGGCACTCCTGTGTACCTGCTCTGCTCCTCCCTGACATTTTTCACCAGTCTTCTGGGCCCATGTTTCAGGTGAGTTTATCTGTCACTTGCTCTGGTAAGCTCATGAAGTAGTGCTGCTCAGCTCAGAGGATGCATGATCTTCTTCATGGAGCCATTGCTCATTTATCAGCGAGCCAGCAGTCATGCTTCTCAGAAGCCCCTGATTTCAGTGAGGATATCCATGGTGCTTGGCTGCAACTGTACAGGCTCTCACCTGGCCTGCGCAGTACTGCTGTGCAGCACAGATGCCATTTGTTTGCCATCTTGTCACAGGAACTTGTTGATTTAATAACAAAAGATCTTGATTATTTTTTTTTTCCTTCTTCCTACAGGAAGATTTTCTGACTGACTTGTTCTCAGCTGCTTGGAAACCACAATTCAGCAGCCTTCTGACTTCACTAGCCTGCTGCCTCGCTGCCACAAGCACAAGGCTGAACACAAGGCATCCGCTAAGAGGTGAGGCTCCTGCCTTCATCTGTGCACCCTCCTCCTTTGCTCCCTCATTTGCCAGACACTTCAAAACAAAAAAACCCAAAAACCTCAAAAGACAAACACGTGAAACCTTGAGTTGAGCTTCTTGTAGAAGTGTCAGTTTACCTTGGGTTGGTGAAGCAGGAAGAAGCAGCTGGTCAGTTCCTCACACAGAGTCTCGGACTCCTCAAAAATACAGCGATTATTTATGGACACATGTCAGTATAAAACATCAAGAGCAGTAAAAAAGAAAATACGTTATATGGCCATATCCACCTGCAAAGATAATTAACAGCTCTAGGACAGCTAATTTAAATGGTAATGAAAGTGAGTGGTAGCAAGAAAGCCCATTAAAGTAGATTTATACAAGTCAAATAAAACCTACTTTATTACTCTCCCTAAGCACAAGTATATGGCCTCTAGCATTCTAACTGATGGCTGCATCTGTGGCAAGCTGCCCATTAAAAGAGTCCCTGCAGCTGACTGGTTGGTGCTGTCAGCAACAGTACATCCCTGTCAGTCACAGCACCTCAGGAGAAGGAAAGAAACAGCCCAGCTGAAACAGCAGCAGCACAGAGGGAGCAATGTGCTGTCTTGAGATGTTATCCTTCCTGCTTGTGCCCAATGCCAAGTGCTTTTCAGAGGCAGGCGTTCATGACCTGTGTTCTAGTTTTAGTGGTCAGGACAAACTAAGCAGGGCCAGACCCACTCTGCATTTGTGAAACCATCACTGCAGGAGGTGAGGATTCTTCCCTCTAATCCTCGCCTAAGCCTGGCCCCTCCACAAGGTGAGCAGAGGGACCCAACATTATAACTGCTCTCTATCTTTTTTTCTATCAAGAGATGTTTTCTTCAGCCTCCTGCTCACACCACACTACACCAGTGCTATTTCCACCAGGCTAGCAATGGCATATATTTCACAACTTTCCTTCAGGAAAAACAGAAAAAAACAATGTATTTAACCAGCAGCCTGCCTGGAAGGCTGTTCGATTTCTCCTTTTAGCCTCATGAACTTTTTAGGCAGGACATCACTGAAAGATAAGAAGAGAACCAAAAAACCTAAAATATTTACTGGAATTTTTACTCTCATAAAATTGTCTAAAACTGACAGTTTAACTGGAGTGAAAATTTCTCCTTTCCTGGCCAGCTACGTTGCCCGGCACCACAGAACACAAACCACCTTCCTTACACCAGCATGAAAACAGCATTCAGAACTTGATTATTACCAGAAATATCACTACTAGATAAATATCATTAATAGAGTGCTGGACAGTCCCAAGAGAAAGACTGACATCCTTATGAATACTCCCTTCCCATCTTACCACTTGTGTCCCACCATGCAGATGAACTACCACCATTCACACCCCTGGCCACATCTGCTGCTGGGTTTCCAGCTGGGACAGGATTAAGGGCACAGTTTGAATCCTATGAATTTATACAAAAAACACTCTTTGGAATTAACGTGGCACTAGGGAAGTGTAAGAACTTAAGTTTCTAATGGGAAGCAGACAAGAATGCCAAATGCCACCCCATTTGTCCTCTGGGTCTAGAGCCAATGTCTGTATATGACTCAAAAAGCCCTTTTGCAAAACCTAGAAGCACAACTGAAAAAATTCCCCAGTCTGGCAAAGCCACAATGACCAGCTGCGACCCCACTTCTATGCCTTCTACCTTAGATGAAGGATAAACATTACATTCTTCCAGCATGAGACCATCTCTAAGAAACAGGTCTTCAATAAATATGAGCATGAACCAGGGCATTCTTTTTACAATCAATCACCTTTAATATATTTTGTGGTGTATTTAGTGCATTTTTAAAAACACATTTTGTAACTCTATTCCCAAAAAAGCACAACTGAAAATGTTAGTTTTAGAAGTTACACATATATATATTTAATAACAAAAAAGAGAAAGTTGTCTTGAGAGTTCCAGTTACAGTAACAAAGCACAGTTGCATTACTGAACAAGATTTACGTGTAACATCAATGATCTGAATCCCTTAAAGCCAAAGAAGTCCATTAAAATCACTACAAGGTTTGTCACACCAAGCAGAGTCAGCTATTAGAAATCATCTACTGGCAATGGGATTGACATACTCTCAACTTCGTGAGTACAAAGTGTTCTAATATATTTACACTTTAAAGTTTAAACCAGAGTTTAAACAGGGTAAACCTCTTCAGAAGTTATGACAATTTTCTTACATTTTCTACCCGAAATACTGCCATCCAGTGTTCTTTCCTATATCTTGATTATGGGGAAAAAAGGCTCTTTTGTGAGTGTAGTGCTGCACGTTCTCTGTACTGTTGCGAGTTGTGAATTTTACCATGCAACTTCAGCAAGAATCAACTTCCAAAACATGTGTTTTTAGTCGCTGTGTTCTCCTGGGCCAGAGAGCTCTGTAATAAAAATAGCTGCCTCAGAACCCGGCAGAACAGCAATGGCCTCTGACACCTGCACCAAGCCCATAAAGGACTGCACCACATCTCTCTGGTAGCTTTTAGAGCTATTATTCTAAGGCTGGTAAGATTAGATCCATATCATACAAGTGATGCTGAGACATCTTCTGCCTGTCGTCAGGCCTTACTTAACAAATTGTCAGCCACAGGAACACAGCCTAATCATATCCTGTTTGTCTTCAGAGAGAGCTGGCAGTGGAAAGGAAGGTAGGAAAGAAATGGCACTTCGACTGCGCTTCTCTTACTATGTTGCAGACTACCTAGGATTTAAGAAAGTGACTGAGTGCTGCCGTTTTTTTTTCTAAAAATAATTATTTCTCATCAGTGCTGTTAAGGTATCCTTAACGTGAACAAATTCAAATAAGACAATGCTTTTGTCTTTCTCTGTATCTACACCAATAAATACACTTGAGCACCCTGGGACCCTCTGCATTTCGACTGGGGTCACATAATCACTCTATTTTTACTTCCTGTTTTAATTTTGCCTCGACCTGAGCTCCAAACTCCAAGCATCAGCTTCTTTGTTGGGGTCTGTAGCTGTCTCACCCCATGAAAGCATTTTCAGTGCTCTTCTTAAATCAGCTGAAGATCTTCTAAATGAGTAATGTGAGCTGGGGACACCTATTCAGTACATCCCATTGAGTCTTTAAAGAAAAACATCCTGGCCTCCGTTCTGTACCTTCCAAATGACCAAGCACAGAACTGCCCTCAATCTGACTGGATACATGCTGTCTTATAGAAAGTAATCTCATAAATCACTAAGATTAAAAGAGAAATGTACAAGAATGTAAACATTTGGTTTTTTTCTAAATTCTTTTCTTCTCACTTATACAAATGGATTAAATCAACTACAGTTGTTTATGCAAGACAACCTCCAGAAATCAGTAAAGCTTTTATCTGTTTCTCAGACAGAAAACAGATGCTGTCTTTGCTAACAAATCTGGGTAAGTCTATTAAACAAAAAGACAAATTACAAAAATGT